GAAAATTAATGTTGTAGATCAAAAATTTAGCAGAGGTTGACGCAATGCAATTTTCAAGCGAAAGTAAAACTGTAAAACTTGATATATATTTTAGTATGTTTTAGCATTACATAATTTGAAGTTTACGTAGTTAGATATTTGCATACACTTTTGTTCACGTTTTCTTATAAAACAAAGCTGCTGCAACTCTTTCTTACCATTACTTCGTTTACAATGGCTGCCAAGAGTTCTGCGTCAAACAGGCTCGAATAGGCACTACTACTACTACTACTTACTACTTACTACTACTACTACTACTGCTATTAAGTTCAGTATTATTATATAGAGAACAGCAATGCACAGTGAGTCAAAGTGTGGCAAAACCATACAAAAAAAATTTTGATATTTAAAAAACGGCAAGAATCGTTCAACATACTATTAAGTCAGAAATTAGTTTTTATCAGAAAATGTTTTCGCGATAAAATATCATATTTGTTATTTGAATATCGATTTAAAAACTTTCATAAAAAAAAAAAAAAAAAAGTGCGAAAATTTTCTTTTTTTACATTTTTTTAAAACTTTAATTTCTTATTTTAAAGAACTTTAAGTTTATTTTTTTACCATATAAATAATCTTACCATAATAATCTTTTTTTATAGACTTAAATGAACAAAAAAATACTTTTTAATTTTTCGATTTCTAGTTACTGCATAGTATTCGCTCAATAAACATTTAGATCGTATTGAAACCATTTTTTTTTCATTTTTTATGCTATTGTTTTAAGGTAATAAAAACTGAATAAAATACGAAATTATGAACTTGTACCTTGTACAAGTTTGAGACATTACTAATATTATTTATTTATTTTAAAATTTCCGAAAACAATAAAATATTACACATTCGATAAAAAAACGAGACAACAACCAATGCGAAACAAAGGAAATGCAGTGAATATATGCATCGCTGGTGCATCTCTAATTGAAATGGCTAGATTGTTTTATAATGTTATAAAATTTTTGTTAGGGAGGTTTTGACTAAAAAATATCAAGCTTCTTATATTTTATATGAAGACAAGCTTCTTATATTTTATATAAACACAAGCTTCTTATATTTTATATGAACACAAGCTTCTTATATTTTATATGAAGACAAGCTTCTTATATTTTATATGAACACAAGCTTCTTATATTTTATATTAAGACAAGCTTCTTATATTTTATATGAACACAAGCTTCTTATATTTTATATAAACACAAGCTTCTTATATTTTATATGAACACACGCTTCTTATATTTTATAAGAACACAAGCTTTATATATTGACAAAACAATTTCGCAGTATTGTTTTATTGTAGTTTTATACAGCTTTTTACAATAACAATTTCAAAACAAAACATGTTTTATTGTCAGTATGAACGGGATATTGGTAAAAAAACGCTAATAATTATTTTTGTGCTTTTGGCTTTTACTTTATTTGTGATTACTTAATTTGTGAACGATCACTTGTAAGTTCAATCTTTTTGCCCTTAGGCAAAAAGATTTTTAAACTAAACTAAATTATTTTAATTAAATCACGTTAAGATCAAAATTACGGAATGACACTTAAAAGAAATGTTAATTTACCTATGCCACCCCCTGCATGAGGTGAACATCCATACTTAAAAGATTCAATGTAAGCTTTAATGTCATCAATTGCTAAAAGAAAAAAAAAAAAAGTACGATAAATTTAAATCTGTTTATAATTTGACAAAATCTGTTTTTAATTAGACAAAATAACACTAAAATACCAATTTTATGGTGTTTTGCACGCTCGGTTAGAAACTCTGGATCATGAATTCGTTGGGCCCCTGAAAGAATTTCTTCACCTCTCATAAACATATCATAGGAATTACTTGCTCCCTTAAAAATAATAAACAAAAATTATATATATATATATATATATATATATATATATATATATATATATATGAAAAATAAAGATTAGTAAAAAGTATAACCAATCATTATCAAACAACAAAGTCTTAAAAAAGCTTGGTTTCAATTAGTTATGGAAATGTTGTACAACAGTTGTACGTTTTTGTTGCACAACAATTGTTGTCGAAACTGAATTGATTCTATTTTCGCAACATTTGTTTTACATCATAAACTTAAATTTTGCAACTTACGCAATGTTTCCATCGTAAAACATTGTTGTAAAATTGTTGAACGACATTTTTACAACTATTGAAAAACAAGCTTAAGTTGGCATCCATAAAGTATGTACAGAGTAAAACCACTGATATAGCATCCCCTCCCCCTTGTATGCAATACATAACATAATATTAGTTTTTTTTAACTCGTGAAACACGTGAAAAAAAAAAAAGAAAATATTAAGTTCATCGGAGAGATAAAGAATGAGAAATCAAACTGCATACGTACTCACTCCTTCCTATTGTATGCATATGTTTTTGGGTACCTAAAACCTATTGTATGCGTATGTTTTTGGGTACCTAAAAACTCTCCCCACTACCATACCTCTGTACGTATTTTATGGAAGACCCCTAATACTAATAAACTGTAAAAAATATAATAAAACTTTTTAGAAAATTTTACCGGTACATTTGGATCAGGCATAGTGTAAAATGGACGAACAGCAAGAGGATATTTATCCAAGATATAAAAGTCTGTGTCATATTTCGCTTTCACTAACTTTCCCAGAAATTTTTCGTTTGGAGTGCTAAAATGCAAATAACCGTTTTGTTAAAGACACAAAAACACCTACATAAAGATTAGCGTTACCTTTTTGAATTTTTATCTTAAATCTTACAGACAAACAAGTCTGTTGTTGGAATTAACAGTAAAAAACTTAAGCCAAGATATTCAAACTAAATCAGTTTTTTTATATTGTAACTTTTAATTCAAAGAACTAAAACAAATCAAATCGTTTTATTTTTGAAAATACATTTTTTTTTATTTCTCATTTTTAAATTCATTTGTTTCAAATGTGAACTAATTTTTTTTTTTATACACAATAAAAATACACATACACATTTCATACACAACAAGAATAAATTACCTAAGATCATCTTCGTCGCCTACTTCAACACCATTTTCTCTTAACATTTTAATTGCTTCAGGAAATGTGAGCACAAGACTGCAATATATGTATATGTATATGTAAATATATATATATATATATATATATATATATATATATACATATATATATATATATATATATATATATATATATATATATATATATATATACATATATTTATATATATATATATATATATATATATACATATATATATATATATATATATATATATATATATATATATACATATATATATATATATATATATATATATATATATATATATATATATATATATATATATATATATATATATATATATATATATATATATATATATATATATATATATATATATACATATATATATATATATATATATATATATATATATATATATATATATATATATATATATATATATATATATATATATATATATATATATATATACATATATATATATATATATATATATATATATATATATATATATATATATATATATATATACACATATATATATATATATATATATATATATATATATATATATATATATATATATATACATATATATATATATATATATATATATATATATATATATATATATATATATATATATATATATATATATACATATATATATATATATATATATTTATATATATAGGTATATATATATATACACATATAGACTAAAACAAGACAAAGCATGACAACCATAGAAAAAAATTATTTATAAAACTTATACAATAAGCCACTGCCTACAAGATTTTTTCTTTTTAAAATCATAAAGAGTCACCATGGCATTTGTGTATTGCAATGTTAGTTACAAAAAACACTCTTTTTTTTTTAAAGTTTCATTCTTTTCTGAAAATTGGATTGAATAATGACATTTTTTTCCATTTTCAGCCGTTTAGATGTTTTGTAGCTTATTTTATAGATGTCTAAAGGGCCGGTTTTCTGTTTCTGGGGGCCCGGATGCAATACATTTTGGAGGCATACAGATATAAAGGGTTCTTAAATTTCTGTAGTAGGTTGAAAATAAAGTTTTAAAGATAAAAAATAGAAAAATCAAAGATTTCAAAAAGATATCAAAAGCTAAGATTTACCAAAAGATATATTAAGTATAATATACATGTATTTTAGTCATTTTAAATAATTGATAAGTTATTTAAATTAAAAAAAAAAAGTTTTGAGAAGTTTGTGACCGTTTGTAGGCCCCCAAATTGTGGAGCCTTGGAGCACTGCTCCCCCTGTTCTAGAAAACCGGTCCTGGAGGTCTATGTAATTAGGAATTTTATGAACTAAACATTGATTATTGCCTACAATTAACATTTTATTCAGCAGTCAAAGAAAAAATATAACTAAAATATTGGACATTCATTTTTTAAAATAGTCACACTTTCTTAGGTTTCTTTTATTCTCTTTTTGACTGGTTTTTTTTCAAAATGAATTTGTGTCGCTTTTCTTGACCATAAACTTGTTTAGATGCCTCAGACGTTAATTTTACTGCTCTCTCCACTGATTGAAAATTGTTTGGCATGTCAATTATAAAGAGTTTTAGATTTGACTCAATAGCCTTTCTCAGATTTTCAGACATTATACTAAGAGCTGTTGGGGGCTCAACCTGAATATCATCAACAAAAACAAGATAGTCCCAAGAGTCAGCATCAAAATTTATTTTCATTATAGATTTCGGCTTAAGCTTTGTTTTAAAATTAATATCTTCTTTCCATGCTCTTATTTTTAAAATTTGGTTGAGGGGTTGGTTTCTTATATTTGGATTTTCATCAAGCAGCATGCAGTACAGAAAATTTTCTTGCAAACAACAGTATGAGTTTCCTTGTAAGTTCTTAAAAACAATGCTCTGAGTCCTGGTATCTTGAAGCTTGACTAATTGAATGGTTTTGTAAAGAAGTTGACAAGCTTCTTTGTATTTTCCAGAGCATTTAATAGCAAACCACATTACACAATATACTTAAATAATATATTAGCAATAACTAATAACTCAGGAGATGGTTTATCAGTCCTAACATAAACCATCATTATTCTAAGAGCCAAAGTTAGCCATTTAGCATGACAAACTGGTCCAGGTTTTTTTTACAAGAAATTTTTTAGAAATTAAACCTTTTGAGATATCGACAAAACTCGCTGTTGTGTACTTAGATCGCTTATAACTTCATTGTTAACAAATAACTTCATTGTTAACAAATAACAAAATATTTCTGACTGTATGGGAATAAATTCAACCAATGGCTGTTCATGAAGAGTTTGATTTGATGCAGCATCTCCAATAGACCTCTTATAAGACTTAGGGCCAATTATGTTTCCATCTAATTCACATATAATGTGTTGCAGTGTGAGTTCAACTTGGTGCAGCAAACATCCTAAAAGGCGCAAACTTTTTTTAAGAATTTTCTTGAGTTTAATATCCAAACCTTGATCTGCAACTGTATTTGAACTTGTGTTATTCATAATAAAAGCTACTAAGCTATGAACACTATTATATTCTGTCAAAACATTGGCAGTAGCATTTGCCATGATAGCCCTAGTTCCATTAGGTATAACTACATGAGTCAAATAACTTTTTGATGTTGGCTCATACTCTGCTGTAAATGTAAGATGATGTTCTTCTTTGGTTGAAACAAAAATAATGGGATCTTCATCAGTGTTGTACTTGACAGAATGTATTAATGTAGACTTGTTAATTTTTCCATCTATTCCAACAACCTTTAATTCTTTAACATCAGCGTTGTGTTTAGAACTTATGATACTGCTGATTCTTTGTTTGCATTTTTGCACTTTTCTTCAGCAGATAGCACTCTCTTAAGAAGTCTAGACATTTTTTTGGCCACTGACTTCTTGTGGATCAGAGAAAGCCTAGGATTCACTTTACTCCAGACTGATCAACTCATTTGTCACTTTTGAAATTATCTCTGGGGAACTAATAATTGGTACTTCATACATATTTTTACTAATGAGATATGAATGTTGAATTACCTGTCTGTAGGTTGGAAGATTGCTTATTGGAAGCTCTGATGGCATCTATTTACTTGATTAAATTCTTAAAAACTGCATTTATTTTTAGTCAGGAATCATATTTTAAAAGGTTACATAAAAAATAGTAAAAAAAAATTAAAATATAAATACTGTAAAAACAAAAGTTAGTTGAGTTGGGAATTCTAATTATGAACTTTATGTAAACAAAATTCGTAGTGGCTCTTGTCCTTTAAAACGAATTACTTTAACTCAAATCCCTAAACTGCCATTTGTTGGAATTTATAGTATAAGAACATTTTATAGGGTGACTCTTATTAAATATTTTACAGGGTGACTCTTATTAAATATTTATACTGGCAGTGGCCTATTATACAATATAAAACTAAGAAAAAAAAGTTTCACAACTATCAGTTTAAACCAAAACAATGACAAACACAAAATTTGTTTGAAAAACTACATTGTATTTTACCTTGGCTCTAAAAACTTGAATGGCTCACAAGGAAACTGTTTTGCAACAGTTGAAATTTCATTTGAATACCTAGAAACAAAAATCTGATAAAAAACTTCTCTTGAATTTATTCTGATTAAAAGGAATACCCAAACTTTACTAGTTTCACTACTTTCACTACTACTTTTTAAAAAGAATAGTCATACTCATAAGAACAAGAGTGAAGAGCTTTTCTTCAGAAAAGATCTACTCACTTATCTCTATCAAATATACTTCACATTAATATCTCTTGCTAACAATCTGACATCTAAACATGATAAAAATGTAATATGCTGAACTATTCAGTGATTCTATTTGATTTGCAAATAGAATTACATTTTAATCATGTGTCCTACATTTTAATAAACAAGTCCTAAAACAACACAAGTTTTGAGTTTTTACATTCTGCTATTGAATTAAAATCAATATTAAATTTAGCGGAAATAATAAAATAGAAAACATGTTTAAAATGTTGCAGTTGCAATATTGTAGAATACAGCCTAAGCAGTGAAAAGAAAAAATGATTTTTTAAAAAACTTCTTAACACATTTTATGATATTTTAGTCTTTTTCAATATTTACATAAATATTTACAAATTTATAAGAAAAAAGTCTTTCACAAATTTATAAGAAAAAGTCTTTCCTAAAAGAATGTTGATCAATTTCAAGTTTTTGTTAAATTTAAAAATTAAAAAAACTTTGTCTTTGAAAAAAAATGTCTTTAATGCAAAAGTCATTAAAGCAGAAATCATTTTCAGAAATATTGACAAAGAACCTGACTCAACTGATATACTTCTGCTCAATTTTATTTGGGTTATAATTGTTTGTCATCATTTTTTTACTCTTGTTTCCCAAAGAAATCATATTAGAATTTAAATAACGCACCTGTCTCTCAGTCCTTTAAAAATTGCAATAAACAGATTTCCGATTTCTTGAATAACCTAAAAAATAAACAAAAGCTTTTAAAATCTGAACAGAAACTTATTAAGGGTGGCCAGCCACTTTTGTACAAATAAATTCACTGACGTTTTATATTTTTCCCTGACTCAGTTTTTAAGTGTGAGTTTTTAAACTTTTTAACTCTTGTTTGTAAATGCTTCCCAATGTAATACCAAAAATATTATGAAGAAAAAAATAATATAAAAGATATATATATATATATATATATATATATATATATATATATATATATATATATATATATATATATATATATATATATATATTATTTATTATTATTTTTATTATTTCAATTTATTTGTATTTAAATAAAAATACAAAAAGGTGATACAGGTAATTGGAGAATTACTCTAGTGTAGCACCAAGTTTAAAACAGTAAACAGTGTCTCTGAATACACACACACACACACACACACACACACACACACACACACACACACACACACACACACACAGATAAAATAATAGTATAAAATAAATATGCAAACTCCAATATATATACTTGGTCCCATTTGCCTGTTCTTTCAGAAATTATTATAGCAAATAAATAAATTTTCTTAAAAAAGGACAAAAGAGTAAAGATATAAACTAATTTTAAAAATATATATCTCAGTTATTATGAGTTAAAAAATAAATATTTTAAATGGTTTGATAATTTTTTTTTTGCTTTTTAAAAAACTTAGTTACTTTAAAACAATTATCTTTAAATTTAAGAAAACAGTTTAAATCTTTTTAAACAAAAATAATGTGAATCTGTTCATTCCATTTTGCATTTTTAATTCTAATTCAATCTCATGCATATATTCCTATTGTATTATTGAACTTTGTTTTTTTAGCAATTAATTCCTTAATTTTCTGCAGAGCTAATTTTTTTATCAATACAGTCTTGTTTTTATTGCGATTTTTCTTCTCTTTTTCATTTTAATGATCTTTGTAGTGCGAGTGAGACATTTTTATACTTTTGATCATTGATCTTGTTATTTTGCAAACTCCACAAACATGTTGAATTCCATCATAAACTTGCCTTAGGGTAACCACAGAGCATTCATGCAAATTTACAATACAGGGTTTCCCACTTCATTTCGACAACGTATCATTCAATTTTGACATTGTATCAGTACATTTCGACAATGTTTCATTCAATTTCGACAGCGCTGCATTTGATTTCGACTGTTTTGCATTCAATTTCGACAGCGCTAATAATACTTAAATTAATATACAAATAAAGCAGTTAGATTCTTTCTAAATTCATTTAGATAAAAAAATTTTTTAGTTTGGATACAAACTAAAATCTAAACAAAATAATTATCGTATAAAAAGAATTGTAATTGCAAATAAAAATTGCTAATAAAAATAAAAATTACAAAAGTAAGTTTATTCTTCAACAACGGTTCTCTTTTTGAACACGAAATCATATACCTCAGTACGTGCGCAAAATAATTATTACAGTTTGTGCTAGTAATATTCAATGCACGGTTTTGTATATTTTCAAGCAGTTCCTCCTCAGTCCTAGACGAACATCTTCTGATAAACTGTTTCCATTCAGAAAACATATTTTCAATAGGGTTTAAAAAGGGGGAATATGGAGGTAAAAATATTAAAGAATGCCCAGCACGTACTATTTCATTATGAACAACAGCAGTTTTATGAAAACGAACATTGTCTAAAATTAAGATAGCTCCAACAACTTCATTAACAGCTAATTGTGCTAATACCAAACGAAAAAAATCTAAAAAGCTTTCTGTATTAAATGCTTTCGTTTGTGCTTCATATTTCAAAATTCCGTTGTTATTCATTGCACAACAGACAGAAATATTTCTTCACCGTATATTAGTCACTGTTTGTGTGGCCCTCTTTCCAGATAAAGAACGTCCTCTTCTAACTCGCATTGAAAGACTAAATCCTACTTCATCAATAAAGAATATTTTATTGTCATTCATAGAAGACAAAATGTTCATGAATCTTTCTACATAAGAAGCTCTTTCATTAATAACGTCGTCCAAATTTCTTCTCTCTGGAATATTGTGAACACGTTTCAAAGTATAATTAAAACTATCAATGCATCTTGCTATAGTAGATTGACTGACTGAAATGGATTTTTGTTCAAAAAGTCTTTGTTTAATTTCCTTAAGAGTTATTCCACAATCATCATCAATCCAATTTTTGATTAGTACCTTGGATTCTTCTCTTAATTTTTTGTTTCTAGAACCACCTTTTAATTGCATTTCTTTCGGCAAACCATTTTTATATATTTTAATAATCGAATAGATTGTAGTACTTTAAATCCAAGAATATTTGCAATTTCTGATGGTGAGTTTCCATTTAAGTAAGATTCAATTATCCTTGAACGGTTTTCATAGTTGATTGTTTGATTCGGCATTGCAGTTTATAAATATTGAAAATGATATTTAAGCTTTTATTATGAACTCTTGTTGTATTGAAGAGACAAATGCTTTTATTTACTTAATAAAAAATTATAACATTAATTTATAGTTTAATGACAATTTAATTATGTATTGTTGGGATATTTTCCAAAGCGTATATATATTTTTTTGGCAATTGGACATAATTTATCCGGCAATAAAAATAATGAGTATGGCAATTAAAAACAACTAATATGGTAACTTGAAATAATTAATATCCACATTGCTTATTTTACCGATATATTTTACGTATATCCAAAAAAATATTGAAACCATATTCACGATGCCACTTTAAATAATGCAGAATTAAAAAAATAGCCATATTAATTATTTTATTGTCCCGATTAAATTCAACCCATTATTATTTAACAAAAATTTTCATCATAAATATAAATACTTTAATTCAAAATAGAGTGTTTTTAAATTGTCGAAATGTGATGCAACAGCGTCGAAATTGAATGCAAAAGTGTCGAAATGTAGTGATACAATGTCGAAATTGAATGCAAAAGTGTCAAAATGTAGTGATACATTGTTGAAATGAGGTGAGAAACCCTGTAAGAACATCTGAATGGATAGAAAACCCATTTTCAACCTGCGCATTACCATGTGATAAAGTAAAGACAACTTTGAATACTTCAAATAAGTTATTAAAATTCTTGTTTATAAAAGGGGTTATGAAAACACCCATCCTATCCTTATAAACATTGTAATTTGTAAATTCTAATCTATGGATGCCTTTTGCAAGATTACATAAATCTTGATTAATGACCTTGTCAGATATTACAGCATTAATCCATTTAGATTCATGAAGAATTGAGTAAATTAGTCATTCTGTTTTTTTATTTAGTCGAAATTAGAACATATAATGGGGTTAAAAGTTGATATAGCTCTTGTAAGTTTATATTTTAAAGGACTTCCTTCTCTCAGTTTATTAACAATTCTAACATAAAACTTAATACAATCACTTCGAAATTGTAACTTCTGACATTCACTTACTTTTATTTTACCAAGTAGAGATGTTGCCCAATTTTTACTTTATTTTTGTGACACTTGTGCGTGGTTAATGAAAATTTTTCTTTTATTTGATGTTTGAGTGGGAGTTTGTAAAAAAATATTTGAAAAAATATTTTAAAATGTTGAAAAAAAGATTTTTTAAAAATCCCTGATTTCCAGTTGGCCACCCTGTTATTATACATGATAAATCAATACTGCTGCTACTCCTAAGCATTCCCATGATTAATCAACATTATTGGTCATATATTCAAATGGCAAAATAACAAGTTTTTGCTTCACTGCCAAGAGTTTTATATACATTTTTCAAAAAAAAAGAAAAAAATTATAATGGGGCTGAAAACTTTTGTTAGTTTTGTTAGGTTGGTATAATATTGATGGTTTAAAGAAAAAAAGACGCATGTCCATATTTGACAGTAGAACATTTTGGCTATAAATATTATTAAAAATTTATAATTTATGACATTAAAAATAAACAAATGCAAAATATGGACATATATGAATACATGACTTTTGTGCTTTAAACCATCAATGTATTTTAAGTCTGATACTTCTTTATTATTTTTATTTTTTACAGAAACCGAAAATTACTTTTGAGCAATTAAATTTGATCAAAAAACTTTTATACTGTAGTTTAATTTGTACAAAATACTTTGAGACAGTATTATAATTTCTAATTAAGGTTTAGGAAAAAAAATTGATTTCTAAATAAATAAAAAAAAGCAGCCTTCTACAAAGTGGCAAACTTTATCCTTAATTTAGTGTACCTCATGATAGTGATCTTTAAAGGCCATTTCTATATCTAGTCCTATGAATTCACACAAATGACGATGAGTGTTACTATCTTCAGCACGAAACACTAAAAAATGTGAGTAAAATAAAAAGTTCACTAAAAATTCCCTTTAAAATTTTTTTGAATTAAAGCCATTTTTCATAGGAAATTAAAATATTACAAACATTCAAAAAAAATTTTAAATATGCTCAATAAAAGATTTCAAATTTTTTCATTGGAAAAGGAAATTAAAATATTACATACATTCAAAAAAATTTATAAATATGCTCAATAAAAGATTTCAAGTTTTTACTATATAAAAATAAATTCAAAAATATTTAACCTGATCCAATGGTATATACTTTATCAAAGTCACCAGCAATAGCCATTTGTTTGTAAAGCTGTGGAGATTGTGCTAAATAAGCATTGCCTAAAATGGAAAACATTTTATGAATGCCAAACATCTCAAAAAATATAAGAATATATCCCAAAATAGTTCAGATAGGACATAAATTAAATAATTATAATCAGTCAAAAAATATTTTTAAATTACTATAAAAAGGTTTTCTAAAAAGATGATAACCAACATAAAAACTATTGTCTCTCACTTTGAAATAATTATATTTAAATAAATCGTTGAATTAGTTCTGTTTAAAATTTATTTTTAATTAACTTTAAATTACCTTTGAAATAAGAGACTTTAAAAACATTTGCACCACCTTCACTTGCAGCTAAATAAAACTATAGTTAAAAAAAACCAAGGTTTCAAAGCAAACATAATAAGAATCTCTAATCTATAAAATATTATCTAATAACAAACCTAAAATCTATAAAATATTATCTAATAATGCACCTAATAACGAATATCTTTAAAGATATTAAGACAAGAAAAGACAAGAAAAGATAATTAAAAAAAAAAGGAGTATAACAAAGCAAAATAAATTATTATTCCGGGAAAATAAAAAAACTCATGAAAATATTTTTAGAAAAATTATATTTAAAATCAATATTCAATCTCAGTATGGATAGATCTTAATTCATTAAAGATTCAATAAAAATGTTTACCAGAATCATTTACTTTGATTTATCTTACCTCTTTAATTACCAATCTCTTCCTGACATCTATATTGAGCAACGCATTTTGCTTTGAGTCACCTTACAGCCTTACCAATTTCTTTATGACATTTTTGTCAAACAATATCTTTTGCTAGGATTTATCTTACTTCCTTAATTACAAATCTTTTCCTGCATCATTGTCAAACATCTTTTCCTGGCATCCTTGTCAAACATCTTTTCCTGGCATCCCTGTCAAACATCTTTTATTAAACACCATTGTCAAACATTTTTTGCTTTGATTTATCTTACATCCTTAATTACCAATATCCTCTGTGTCAAACAAGAGTTTGCAAGTTGAGTAGTAGAAAGTAGTGCAAAATTAAAACTTATTTAACTTTCTACTAACCTAATGATAAAAATATTTGTTTTATAAAAAGTGTTCTTCAGTTTAATATCAAATTCAAATTTTATAAAAAAATAACTTTTTTCTATAAAACTAATCGAAGCAAATTACGCTAATTTTGTATTTATATCTTTACAGTTACTTTTAAGTTAAACTTGGTTAAAAAATTAAAAAAAAAAAAAAAATACATAACAAAATCGAGATTTATATAAAACTTGTTCTGATTGTTATCACAATTGTTGCTATTAATATTAATATCTTCAAACCTTTTTAAAGTTAAACAATAGACCAAAATATAAAGAAAAAGCTTCAAATAGCTATGAAGAAGTCTTTAACAGCTATTTTAATCTTTGGAAGGCTTCTGTACTTATCTGAATTATCTGCTGAATTATCCCATTACTTAGTCCCTCCAAGTATACTCTCAATTACCAGTATTTGAAATCTTTTTCAAACATCAGCAACAAAAAATAACAAAAATTAAGAAAAACTTGGAAAGTGTGAAAGAGAACACCACTATTTTGGTTGCAAAGGTCGGAGAGTTTGGAAGAAGACTAGATTTATAAACCTTATTAAAGATACAAGATCAATCAAGTATTAAAGATACAAGATCAATAATTCCATAGTCACAAAGAGATAGTTACTCAAGTTACAACAACTTTATTAAAAATAACTAGCTGCCCAGACTCGTAAAATACAGGTCTTGTTAAGTCTATCCTACACCAACTAATTCTATACTTATTCCTTTTTTTTAATATTTTTTAGTAGGTGGTAGAGAAATGATACATATTGTCTGCCATAAAAATAATATTTTTATTATTTTAATGGTAGACAAAATGTATATAAATATAAATAATTTATTAAAATAAATATAATATATTAAAAATAAATCAAAATAATTTTTTTATTTATGAATAAATTATTACTATTAAAAAAATAATACTTAAAGTTATTAAAAATATTTTAAATAAAAAAGTTAAAAATAAAACCTGATATTATTTTAGGAGTATGGACTTCAGTAAAACCTCTTGAATCCAGATGCTCTCGGAACAATTTACATATTCCAGCTTCAACTTTATATAAAGCCTGATTGGTTATGGTCTATAAAAAATGTGTGAATGTATTTTTTTTTTTTAAATATTTTCTAACTTTTATTTAAAAATATAGAAAAAAAGTATGAATAGTAAATATTCAAGAAAGTTTTATTTAAACATAAAATATTAACAGGAACAAAAATTGTTATAATTATATTATTATCGAAAAGAACATACCCTTAAATCAATAACTCTATAGTCTAGCTTCGTATCTTGGTTAACATGTGCCAATGACTTATAAATTGATACAAAAGATTAAATATATTTTGCTGCTGTATCATGTCTGTAGAAAGTGATATTATTAAAAAACCATTGTTAAAATACTTACATCATCATTTTCTGGTCTCGATGCGTCTTCAATTTGTAGAGGTAATCTAGGATCTGCTTTGCTTACAACAAATATCTGTAGGAAAAATATGTTAGAAAATATATAAATTAAATATAAAGAAAACATATATAAGTATAAAGTGAAAAATACAAAGAAATAGTTTGCGAAAAAACAAAAATATAAGAAATAAAAATATGCTGTTAAATAAAAGATTTTTAAACTTATAATGAAATATTACTATTTTATTTGATTTAAATTTATTTTAAAATAGTTTTATTTAAAAAAAAAATTATATTGCATCTTATACTATAAATGCTATACATTTATATTTAAAAAGTTTAAACACCTTTTGTATATGCACTTCTACATCTTCTTGAGAAGCACTGAGTATTTTTTGTTCTACTTCAACAACTGTTCCTTCAACATCCACAATTGATTCTTTTGAGATACTAAATTCAACATAATACATAATAACTATTTAATAACAGTTATGTAGTATATTTTAAATAATAAACTTTTTGGTATGTATATTTATATCAAAAAGATTTCTGATTATTTCTGCGCTTGCACATGTACTTGTAATGCAGCTTCTTCAACCTATACAACATCTTTTCTCAACTGAAGCTCATGTCATGTTCAGCACTTTTTTACAAGTTTTCCTACTTTTTTCACTTTTCCCTTTTCCTCCAAAAACTGCTAACTCTTAACGGCAACTTTATGCTCTACATGCCCAAACCACCTTAATCTTCCAAGGTACACCCAATCTATTTCTAACCTCTGTCTGAGATCATAATTTATTTTCTTATCTTTTAGGGCCACACCACACATCCATGTTAATCACTTTCTTTTATGTTCTTTTCAGACGCTGGAGATATATTATCTGTGTTTAACAACCTATATTATCTGTGTTTAACGGCTATATATGATAGCACTATGAACACATGTGTATAAATTTTCATTAATCTTTAATAATGCATCTCTTGCTGTTGGAAATGGAAATAATTTTTCTCAGACACACATTTTTGCCCTTTGATCTGTTAAGATAACAGATATTATTTAGGATAGAAAACCATTTGAAACATTTACACAAAATAATAGCAAAAGTATTTCACTATTTTATAATCAAACAATTAAATACTTGAAATAGATTTCTTAAAAATAAAATAAGTTTTGAATTTATTAACCATTTGATATTTAGAATAAATGTTAATCAGAATAGTATTTATTTATCTATGTGTTTCCATCATCATAATAAAATATTTTCAATAAAATTTTGCATACAGTTGTAACTGAAAGATTATCTATTGGTGTGAAAGCAGAAGATTTTGCAAGTGACCGTAAAATTATCAATTAATATAAAGGCATTCCTGTTTAGTAAGAACATATTTATATAATTTTCTTTCAAATAAAAAATTTTGAGGAAAAATTTATAGAATTTAATATAAAAAATAAACATAAGTAAAACATACTTTGTTGCAAACTTCACCATCTGTTTACTAATATGTTCATTTACTGCAACAAGAGCTTGTACACTAAACTGTCGTTGACGTAACATCAAGAAACATTGCTTTCCTAAACCAAGCAGCAAATATTTATAAATGTTTTAAATAATAAATTGTATAAATAAATTGTATAAAAGTGAATAAAATCTTTTTGTTTTTTAAAACACAATTTAAAATTCTCTCTTTTAAATCTTGTAAATCTTGTTGGGTCTGCTCTGGCTGCAAAGCTTATGCTTTTGTCTGAACCTCACATTGTGGTAGTGGTGTAGTGGTAGAGCGCTCGCTTCATAAACGAGTGGTTCCGAGTTCGATCCCCACCACGTCCCTGGTAGTACCGCGCTCAACTCGTTTCTCCGCGCAGCGGCCTTGTTCGTCAAGGTTCGTGTTTCGGAGTTATAGAGTTAAGAGAGGGTTATAGCCACAAAATAAGTAGCCTCCTCGTTTGTAGTGGCCTTCTCGGCCTTGAGGAGGTGAAGTAAAATTAAAAAAAAAAAAAAAAAAATTTGTTTTTGAAACTAGGTTCACATTTTTTTCTCTTTTCTACTACCATGATCACTCAAACAAGCTATCATCACTTCTTCAATTAACCAAAACTCTATCTTGGGCAACTCCGTTCAGTCAAGTCACATTCAATTACTGCAACAATTTCTACACCCTCAAAAAACTTCGTTTTTTTCTTTTTTAAAATCTTTTTTAAAATCTTCTTTAAAATTCATCTAATTTTTTTCTTAAAAATTTTCTTTGGTTTTCATTTATTTCCTGACTCATTCAGTTTACAGCTTTGGTTTTCATTTATTTCCTGACTCATTCAGTTTACAGCTTTTTAAAATCTTCTGTTAATTTCTTACTCTTTAACTCTCTTTTTTTTTCCTATTAACAGCCAATTTTAATATTGGTTGCTTCTGTTAACAGCCAATTTTAATATTGGTTGCTTCTGTTAACAGCCAATTTTAATATTGGTTGCTTCTGTTAACAGCCAATTTTAATATTGGTTGCTTCTGTTAACAGCCAATTTTAATATTGGTTGCTTCTGTTAACAGCCAATTTTAATATTGGTTGCTTCTGTTAACAGCCAATTTTAATATTGGTTGCTTCTGTTAACAGCCAATTTTAATATTGGTTGCTTCTGTTAACAGCCAATTTTAATATCGGTTGCTTCTGTTAACAGCCAATTTTAATACGGGTTGCTTCTGTTAACACTCAACTTTAATATTGGTTGCTTGCAGCCTTTTTAGGAGAGAACTTATAAAAAAATTTTAATATGCTTTTTTAAAATATAACATGATTTTTTTAAATTGTGAATGTTGATATATAAAAAACCAAGAGATATCAAGCATTATTGTTCACAAAAAAAACTGCTTTTGTGCGAACCATACATACGAATGTATAAGATGAAAGATTAAACTAATAAAGAATCGAATCAGGCATAAAAAAAAAGAGAAGATTCAACGCATAAACAGTTACTTCAAAGACCATGAATTAAAAATTAAGAAAATTAGGTGGTAATTCAGTTATACTTGATGGGTTTTTTAAGCTTAATATTTTAGGGTACTATATTCATGTTTTAAATTATTAGAGAACTTGACTCAATTAAAGATATGACACCTTAAGCCACTAAGCACACCTTAAGCCACAGTTTTACTAATTAACTTTAAATCAAGTCATACAAAGGATCCTTATATATAACAATCTTCTCAACAATTTACACAAAAAACATTTACTGGGAGATATATGGATAAAAACATAAATAAGATACATTAATAAGGAAAAATATGTTACTGTAGTTAATGGAATCAACCTCTTAGAGCTACCAAAAAATTTAGGAAACTTTAATATTATCTAAACCTCAGAGCCATTAAACTGTTTTAGATCTGTACTTTTATTAAGATATAACAAAAAAAGTTACATAACTCTAACCAAAAACCATAGTTAACAGTAAAAAAGAGTAGATTCAAGAAAACCTATTAGTAGATTTAAAAAAATTCGGTTTTCACCATTCTAGACTGGAAACAAAGCAAAACAGGTTTACATTTTACTCCTAAAATCTATGTCTAGAAGGCCTTCTATATGACAGTATGAGATAGTAGAGAATTTTATTGAGATATTATTTCTTGAATGACTTAGAGAAATATTGAAAATAATATGCCCCACTAAAGAAGCCCTATAACTATATCATCAAATGTAATAAAGGTCTTAGACTTAAAGTTTCACATAAAGAAACCACAAACATTCTGGGAATCAGTACATTTTAACAATGAGTTTAAACTTGATGGGTTGTCATTTGATGAAAAAGTTTGGGGAAGGCCAAATGAAGTATGTACACCGCAAAACATGTCTAACAGTAAAGAGCGGTGAAGAAAATGTTATAGTGCGAGAATATATGAATGCTGCAGATATAGGAAACATGATTTTTATTAATAAGATTATGGATCTACATGTTTATTTGAACTGGGTTATGTATCTTTCAGCTAGAAAATAGCAAAAAAAAAAAAAAAAACCTAAATGTGTCTAGGCCTGGCTTATCTTAAAAATAGCTAAGCAATTAAATACACTACACAACCTACAGATTAAAACCCCATCAAGTATTTATAAAATGAATTGGCAGAAGAAATAATACAAAGTGAGGAAACAACAACAATTACAATTAGTAATTACAGAAGAGTGGAACTTCAGAAACTACCATAACACTAGTTTTTACAATAAAAAACAGACTACACGAGGTAGTGAAAACTCTTGGTAGACACACAAGTTATTAGAATGCTAAGAAATTAATAAATAACAACTTTAGTTCATTATTGTTTGAACAGATTAAAACTTTAATGACACAAAAATTTCATTTTATATGCTTTGAAAAATCTTTTTGTTCATTATCTTTATTTGAATAAAAAATTGCATGAGAAGACTAACCTGTTCCTCTACTAGTATGAAGACGAGCTCTAAGAAGAACTTTTTCATTCTTCTTTAAAGGATTAAGATCACTAACATTGGTCCAATCACGACCTAGTAAACAAAAGAATATACAATTTTTATGACATAAAAACAAATTAATATTTTCTGCTAAATTAGTTATAATAAAAACAATATAGTATACATGTCAATAAAATAGAAAGAAACAAAAAAAAAAAAAAAAAAAAATAGTTACAATAACAATATATCAACTATTTAAAACTTATATAAAATAAATGAAGGTAAAATTAGAAAGATAAACAAACAGGAAAATGTTAAATAGACTTACTAATTTTTATCTGTGATTGTGCCATAGGCAAATCTCCATACATTCCAGTGCTATAATCCTATATATTGAAAAAGCTTATAATTTATAACTTTTATGTTTAAAAAATTTAAAAGCACTTTTAAGCCTGATTTATAAGTTTCTTTTGGTTTTGTTGAAATTGAGGAAAAGCTATTACCTGATTAACTTTAAACTTTATGATTGAAATAAAAAACTTTATTCAATTATTTAGTTGCTAAATTAACTTGGCAAAACTTATTGGAATTTGACAGGGAGATATTATCTTACCCATCAAATTATGGTGAATATACATGTGGTCAAGTGTTGTCACGGAGAAGGCAAACTATGTGTTAATCTGGAAAATCAGTTTGAGATCTAATAATTTTGGGCAAAAAAAAAAGTACTTATGTTTAAATGCTGATTTTGCTCAGATGCTGATTTTGAATCAGATCAAAAGGAACAACTAATTTTAAACCAAGCTGATTCAGATGACAAGAAATGTATGACAACAGTTTACTAAGGATTGCTGTTCATTTATTAAACAGTCATTAGTAGTAATTTGTTACTTAATTTAAAAGCATTTTGCATAACTTTAATAAAACATTTAAAAAGTTTTAATAACATTTATTTCCTACGTAATTAAAACATAACAAAAAGTTACGCTTCAAGTTTAAGTTTTTATTTTAGAGCTTATATAATTTCTTTTTCATAAGGAAATTGTTTTTTGTTCATTTTTTCATTAGGATTTTTTTTTGTTAGTTTTTTTTTTTAACTTTTTTCTTAGTTTAAGTTTAGCTTAGCGCTCTACATTCAGAGCATTTCTAAAATGTTTAACTCATCAAAACATATAAACAATCATGGTCAAGTTGTTAAAAAATAAAATATTTTGCGAGGTCACCAATAGTGCTTAATCGCACCCCATTCCTGTCCTAGCCTGTAGTAGAAAAGTTTTAATAATTACTCGTCACTCAAAAAAAAAAAAAAAAAAAAAAAAATTTTAAAAATATTGCTTCAATCTTGTAGTTTTTTAAAATCTACTAAAATAAATAATGAGTGACAAAATTAACACAATGATCAATAAAAAAATATAATTAGACCCCTCCCCACCGATAAGTAACTACTTTCCCCTACTAGAAAGGAGTATTTATCTTAAATAAGTGATATTTTTTAGGCATCAAATAAAAGTTTTACTAAAACTTTATGAATAATCCTTAACATTCTAAACCATGTAAAAAAAAAAAAAAAAAAAAAAAAAAAGTGTAAAAAGTGTAAAATTTCTAAAATACATTTTATGTAAAAAAAAAAATATAACATTTTGCTTACATCTTCAGCCTGCTGTGCAACCTCTGCATCCTATAAAAAAAATTTAATAGTCTACAAAACAATACTACAGACTTTATATAACTATATAAAATAAGACTATTCAACAAATTTACAGGGTTCCTACAGGCTCATTGGTAAAATTCAGGAAATTTATAAAAAAAAAAAAAAAAAAAAGGACTGTTGAGGCCTAAAAAACAGGATTTTTCTTAGAAAAACAGGCTATTTTGTGACACAATTTAAAATATATTATTTCAAAAAAAGATTTTTTAAAAATAATATATTTACTCTAAGCTGTAACAAAGGGCTCCAAATGTGGCCTTGACACTGCACACAAAAAATACAAACAGACACCATCTATGCGCAACATGGCACTGTTAATACTTTGATATTTTTCAGCTGTTGATGGAATCAGCCTCTCTGAGAGCTACCACAGAGTTTGGGAAACCTGACTACCAGCCGGCCTCAGAACCAAAAAACTTAGTTTTAGAGCTGTGCCCTCATTAGGAGATAATAGAATCAGTTGCCTAATCATAAAAACAAGACACAAGCAAAACCCATGCATTGTGTCAAGAAGATCCAGCATTCATAATCCTAAACTGTAAACAATGTATCAAAAATACATCTGCGCCAGTCTAATAGATGAAGAAGGGGTGCAGGGCTGGTCAACAGATAGAATCTGTTTACCCCTTAAGTCTTTGCCTAGGAGGCCTTCTAAAAGACAGTAGCCAGATGCATTTAACATCTGCCCAAGATGAGTATTTTTATCGAGACATCATCTCTAGCCTTTACTCAACCAAGAGTCATGCAGTTTCAAGTTGGAGTTGAATTCTCCTAGCCTTTGCCTAAAAAAGCGTATCCTACATGGCAACAGGACATGAATCAGGTTGTACTGGGTTACATGTTACCAGTAGCAGGATAAACAGACTTGACACTATGAAACTACTAATGAAAAACAAAAAGAGATTCAGTTTTATTAAGGATTCAACTGCCCATTCACATGATTCAAAATGTAAGTAAATTAAATGCTAAGTTCAAATGCTATAAGGTTTAAAAAATGATACAATAGCATTTGGAATTGAAATAAAATGTAATTTTAAAACTCATTTTAAATTGAGAAGCGTCTTTTAAAATGCTATAACTGTTTAAAAAAACAGTACAGTCACACTTCGAAATATTAATTTGCGTATCAGCTTCTTTTTATTAAGTTTGGTAAAATTATATAACGCACTGTAGTGTACTCATTGTTAAATGAAGTGTATACTACTTTAAATGCATTTTAAAGTTTTCTTTTAAATAATCGCAAGAAATTAAATAGATCAAAATATAGTTTTATTAATAAACACATTTTTATAAGTAACTGGTTGTCCTGCCGGGCTACTGACAGGTTTTTGTACAAAATGAGTCATCCTGTGCTACCAGATGACCATGAGAGTACAGTCCTGTAATTAATAATAAATAACAATTATAAAACCAGTTTATTCTTATGCAGGTAATTAAATATCTTATGTAAGACTTCATAAAAGTATGTTGGCTTGCAACAAGTTTTTTTTGTGAATATTTAAAAAACCTTTACCGCTGATTTCTCTAATAGAAAACAATTTTTACAGGAAATTAAAAACAGGAATTAAAATCTAAATTTTATATGGTTCCTATAAATGTTTTACAAAACATTTATAGGAACCATGATCAATCGCTTATAATTATTAACTTACCGCTGCTGCCCATTCATGCGCGTTAAAACAAACTTTTTTACCATTTATTATAAATAGGATTTAGCATGCTCCTTCTTTTTATACTTTTGAACTTACACGATGCTGCACTCTCAAATCTTAATAATCTGTCAATATTTGCTAAATCACTAATAAGGTCGAAAACTTTACTTCATCAGCTTAATTAATAATAAGATTGACAATTTTTATTTAATAACTTTTGTAGTAAAGGATGAACCTTATGTTATTTTTGAATTAGTAAAAAAAACTTTGTTAAAAAACTGTTTGTGTTGGGGAGGAGCTATTAGTAAAGCCTGTTTTTCAACAAAATTTAAAATTTTGTTAAAAAACAGGCTTTACTAATAGCTCCTCTCCATTAAAACATTTAAGAGTTTTGATTTCCTTCATTAAATATGTTTAACTTAAATTTTTTTTTATAAATATAAAGGTAAGTATACAACATGTTAAAACATAAGTTTTAGTAACTTTCATTAAATTTTTACATATATATATATATATATATATATATATATATATATATATATATATATATATATATATATATATATATATATATATATATATATATATATATATATATATATATATATATATATATATATATATATATATATATATATATATATATAAATTATGTTAGTTTATTCTACAAATAGAGTGCTCAATGTTCGTAAAGAACAGCAATAATAAATTTGATTAAACAAATTTTATATATATATATATATATATATTTATATGTATTGACATATTGACAAGCCTTATAATTTTTTAATTTTCTTTATTTATGAGTTCTTATATGAAAAAAAAATTTTTTTTTAAATTACTTTTTATTGTTTTTTAGGTTGAATACTAATAATAATTTGTCAATAATTAATAACAACCACCTTAAATATATAACAATAGTTAAAAAGATTATATCAATTTATTTATAACTATAGTGTAAGTTCTTGATAGAAATATGTTATATTTACACATTGCTCGATTATTTTAAAACATCTATATTAAATATGACTAATAGTAGAGTAGAATATTATATTATGCTGTTTTATTTGTTTACACTGTATTTTAGATGAGTTTAAGAAAGAAAAATATTTTAAGCATCATTTTTTACACACACTCCTTTGATGCTTAATTATCTCTGATAGTTATAGAAGTGAAATTATTAAACTACTCAAAAAAAAAAAGAAACCAGGGTAGACGAGCTGAGATAAATTGTTGTCAAAATTGAAGAGATAAGCCTAGGCAAGCTGAGATAAATTGCAATCAAAATAAAAGAAAGCAGGCTAGGTGAGAACTCAATAGGTATAATATGCATCACATGGTAATTTTTGATATTTTATTATTTTTAGTTCTACTCAGGTGCTCTACCAACTGTCATATGTTTACTTAGTCTACTGTTAAAATATGCAGGCTTTGCGATAAAGCGTTGGGCAATGTGAATTTTACGTCGTCCAAGAGCGATTTTGCGTGTAGCTAGGGCTATTTGCGTCGAGCAAAAAATTTTTTGTTTGAGTATATTTAAAGATATTTTTGAGCGGAATTTTAATGAAGTAATTTACGATTAATCTAAAATTTAATAAAGTATTTTAAAAACCGCATGCAGTTGATATAAAAGTTTGAACTACAAAAAAATTAAATATGCTCATTATTTACAAGTAGAAAAAATTTGAATAAAAAAAAAAGTGTAAATCTTTTTAAGCTAACATTTTAATAAAATTATTCAGCAATAGCAAAGTTGTCGATAAAATTGAACAAAAATACTTTCTTTTAGTTTTAAATTTTTAACTTAAATAATTATTTTACGGGGGTTTGTTAGGTTTTAAAATTATTCCATAGATTTAAAAATATTTATTAACTGTTAGACGTATTTAAAGTATTTAAGAGTGATTTCGAGGAAATATTTTAAAAATTGGCAAGCGCAAATAAAAAAATAAATAGAAGGATTAATATTAAAACGTATTCAACTTGATTCAATAAAAAAGTACAATTATTAAAATTTTTGTAAAAAGTAACTAAAAAAAAATTACTTAATTAATAACAATCGCTTTTTTGTTAAAAGTCACCGAAACTCAACGAAGCGTATCAAGAACAGCTGCTAAAAATTGAACTTGTAAAAATTAAAAATCTATTCAAAACGTTCGTTAAAGTTTTTTAGAAATACGAGTGATTGTGCTTATCAACTGCTTTATGAAAATAAATAAAAATAAATAAATAAAAAATATTATACAAAATCGCTGGTAAAAATATTAGCTATTGCACAGTTTTTAATTGTACAATATTAAAATTTCTAGTTTATTACTCGCTGACTTTTTAAAAAGAAAAAATAATTATTTGAAAAATTTTAAATTACATATTTGAGAAGAAAAAAAATCAAATATTAGCATATTTTATCTTTTTTAAATGTTTAGTTATGTTTTTTATTCGTTTAGTATAGACAAAACGTGTCAAACATCAAGAAAATAAACAAATGCTTTTGCATTTTAAAAAACGAAACTTTCCAAAGCATTTTAAAATAATAACATTTCTAGTAGTTTTGCGGTAATTAAGTAAATTGGCGCAGTTAATGTCGATAAATATGAAAAGCAAATAAAAAGAATTTAATGACGTCAAAAATCATGTCGTGCAGTTTTTATTTATCACAAGGCCTGAATATGGTTTTAACTTAGTAAACTTTAATTATTTAAAATTTGCTAAATTGATCATTAGCTGATAGCTTTAAAGAAAATTAGTTGTCACAATCAAGGTAAGAATAGTTTAATTATCTGATCAAATCGCAAAATTTTTTTGCATCGATAGTTATTATGTTTTTGTTACCTTGCGTAATAGCTGATTATTTTTGCAATAAATGTCTTTTCTTACAGATTTAGACTATTTTTATCAATGCTCTAGAAAAAACATCAGCAACCGGTAAATTGGTTTGTAATGTTAATCTTTAATGTTTTTTACTTCTTTTTTCATGTCCTAATTTTAAAAAAATTAAATTTTTTTTTATTTTAAACATCTTACGATGCTTTTTCAGTTTATTACAGGTCAAATAGAGGGTCCATATCTCACTAGGCACATAAGATGTGGGCATAAACTTATAGCAAAATCTTGCCCCCCCCTTCTTTTTTTAATATAGTGTTGATTCTGTAGAAAGTAAAGTACAAAGAGAGAGACTGGTGGAAAAAAAAAATGCATCTATAATTAGTATTTTTGTTGTTGGTTAATCTACCAATTGGTAATTGATAATGCATTACTTTTACTTGAAAATTGTATTAGGGCGATATTTTCTTAATTTTTATTTATATGAATTTTTATAGAGCATTTAATGCCGTTTTATAAAGGTTTATAAACAATTTAATGCTGTTTTATGAAGTTCAATAAGTCTTTAGTTTATTAAACTGTTAAAAGATAATATTGCAGTATGCTAAAGTGGTTGAAGTAATTCGCGCGAGTCTAAACCTTTATGTTTTCACACTTAATTTTTTTATCTAAGTAAATTTAAAGGTCTATAGAATTATATGCATACCATATATAAAGATATACTATAACAAATGTGAGGGAGAGATTTTTTTTAATTGTTTTTAAAATTTCTTAAAAACACAAAAGCACTGTTCAAAGTTTGCTGCGCGCGTATGTCACATTAGAGTTTAAGGTTTTAATGTGCTTAGTAATAGATTAAGTGTTCACATTAAAGAGATAACTTTCTTTTTTATAGAAAAAAAAATTTACATGGAAACTTACTTTTCTTTAAAATTAACAGGGCAAGAGTCCTAATAACAGAGATCTTTTTCCGAATTTTTTCTCAATATTTAGTTTTTCCAGATAGTCAAAATGCTTTTTATGCATATACAAGTTTAGGAATACATTTTTGTATTAATTTTGTTTTTTAAGCTTTTACATCTATCACTTATACTAAAATTTAATAAAATTTGAAGCAAGTCAGCTAAAAGCAAAATTAAGAGGAAAATATAATCCGGATATTTAACCTAAACAATTTTTCACATTTTCATAAAATAACCTGGATGATCTATGGAATAAACTGGTAATGGCCTTAAAAAAAGTTAATAGAAACTTATTATAGAATAAAATAATAAGGTCAGCCCCCGTTTTGGATGTCTTCCGAATGTTCAAGAGACGTCTTTTTTTGGTCCAGTGCCCACTGGGTGTATATATATATATATATATATATATATATATATATATATATATATATATATATATATATATATATATATATATATATATATATATATATATATATATATATATATATATAAGTTTACAGAAGTTGTTGAAAGTGTTGAAAGTTAATCATTGACTCAAAACAAAGATTTTTATATTTTGGTCTTTTTTAAAAATTATTGAAATAAAACGAAATTATTTAAATAGTAGGTGTGGAATAGACTTACCATGACCAGTAAGAAATTTATATTCAGTAACAATTATACAGGTCATCGTAAGTCAGTTATTTCGCGCCATGTTTTATAAAACCTTTTATACCAATGGTATTTAATTTCAAGCGGGTGTTCTAAATATTATTTAGGCTGGTACTAATATCCGATTAGTTGATAGTGATTCGCGCAAGGTCTACCGAAACTTTAAAGTTTTTTAAAGTTAAATTTAAAGTAAATTTATTTTATAGCTTAAAAAGTAAACAATAAGTATTGTTATTAAACATGTATTTAATTATTTTTCTACCACTTACTAAAATATATTTAAGAAAGGAAAAAAGTATAGAAAAGGTCTTTATGGAATAGATTTACCAAGACCTGTATTTTACAGGTCACGATAGCTAGTTAGACTTTAATTACTCAGAAAAAATATAATAAAATTAAACAATTTGCAACTACCAACACTGTATGTATCATATTACATAATTTAATGATAAAAAAGTTGATTTTAAATTTCATCTTTAATTAGTATAATGTAAAAATAAAAAAAGAACTTACTAACTGTGCCTTTCGCTCTTGTTTTTTGGCTGCCTTTAATTGCTCCTTTTCCAGCTTTTTCATCGCTTTCTTTGAAAGTGTTTGCTCACTAAAAATATTTTTTGGAAAATGCTTTTTTTTTTTAAATGATTCTGAACAAAAAAGTATATGCTTCATTTCTCACTTTCAATTAAAATTATTTAGAAATTGATTTGCTGCTTTGAATCTGCAATAGACTATATTTAAATACATATCTTATTCTAATACTATAAATTCTAATTTGTTGCATGATGCTCTACATCATGTAATTAACTTGGAATTAATACTTTTAATTTTCTAAATAAAAAAATCAGTAACATATTTAAAATCATGTTTTTAGTGACTTTTTACTTTTAGTGAAATATTTTGTATTTTAAGAAAATTATTGTAAAAATTGTTTTTTTATGTTTTATCATTAATGTCAATAAAACTCTATTAAAAGAAAATATTTATAACTTATTTTTTAAATAGAACACAACACAGGGTTCTAATCCAACATGTTAAAAGTTGTATTTGTCAAGAAGATCCAGCGTTCATCATCCTAGAAATGATGTTAAACTTTTTTTCTGTTCAACCCTAAAAATTTGCCAGTAAAATATCATTTTAAAAGTCAATAGCAAGATTTCATAGAACTTTAATCTGACCAAATCAAGTTTTATTGAGATCTCTAGTCTTTACTTAAGAGCTTTAAGATGATTAGCTGAATAAAGAATATTCTATTTTATACCAGTTGACTTTTCTCAACCTTTACGTAAAAAATAAATCCTAAAAGGCAGTGGACAACACAGGCGTTGTTAAGAAGCAAAACACCATGTGAATTTTATGTACAAAATGGAAATTTCACCTATGTGTTAAGCCACTTACCTTATGGCAAAAACTTTTTTCAACTAGATTATTTAAACAGTCTTTTAAAATAGTTTATTCAGAAAACTATTTTTAATTAAATTTAATTCAACTTTTTTTAAAAATTTCAAATGCTCTGTTTTACAATTTTTTTTTAACTTTAAAAATTTTCTAAGATGTTAAAAAAATTATTTTTATTAAATTTACTTTTAGTTATTTTTTTATGTTCATTTTACATTCAACTTTTTTGGTTGTTTATAGTTTTATTTTTTTATTAATTTATTCTTTATTAATTTTTTTATTCTTTATTAACTTATATATTTATTATTTATAGTTCAAATCAATAAATTTTTTTTAAACTGTTACAAAAGTGCAAATAAACTAAAGTGCTTGATACTTATAACTATATATTGTCAATGTATTGCTGGATAAACAATAATCAGACAATTTATGAAATATTATTTTTTTTGGTTTTGAAATTGTTTTTTAAAAAACCTTTTTTCATTATCATTAAGTTTGATTAATTATAGAATGAACATCAATTAGAAATGATTAACTTGTTTATGAGTAGTAGGCAAAGATTTTGTTAAAGTTAAAATGTGAAAAAAAAAAAAAAAAAATTGTTGATATTTTTTTTTAAAGGCATTTCTATTTCTGTGAGTAATTTTTTATTTTGCTTTATTTTAAAGGAATCCCAAAGTGCAGAGACAAGTTGTTTTAATATTAAAGAGAATGATAAAAAAAATGTTTGGACTCAATTTTTTTGAGTAAAACAAAATAATAATCATATACCAAGAAAAATTTTGTTGTTTTACTCAGTCGTCTCCATGTTAGCCAGTCTCTCAAAGTCTTTAAAATATACGCCACAATCTACAGACTTTATAATTTGTTCAAGCGCCTTCAATTCAAATAAGTTTTAGTATATGAGGTCATTGTAGGATTTTTTTTTGAATCAATATTATTAGTTTCTTATTTGTTTTTTAAAATAAGCGTTTATCATCAATTGTACGACTTTCGTTAAAATTTTATAGGAAGCTAAACAAAAGAATGTTTTTTTATAAGCGCGAGAACTAAATAAAATTAATATTTTTATGATACATTCTTAAATATAACAAATATATAAAAAAGATGATGATCACCTTGTTATATATTCTGAATCTTTCTATGCAAACAATGTGAAGTTTTTTTCTAGTTTATCTAAGCCATTTATCACTATGACAATTTTGTTCTCCTATTGAAATGACAATTTATAAATTCTTAAATTTTTAATTGATAATTTTTGGTAAACGACATTATTTAATAGAGATATTTGCAGAATTATTCTATTTTTTGTTAGAAAATATTTATTAATCAAAGTGATGTTTTATGGCAATAATTCAAGACAGATGGCGATTTAAATTTTTAGAGTGTTGCAGTGAGCGTTAAAAAACATTATATTTAATACCTCTCAACTCATGTTGCATTTGGCAAGTATTTTACATTAAAACTTGTCTCTTAACATTACAATTAAAAAAACTACCAAAACTGATAAAACGTTTTTCGTTAAACGAATTCAATTTTTTAAAAATTGATTTGATAATGCTACACTTTTTTGCAATAATTTTAAAAATAAAATAATTGTTCAATTTAAAAAATTTAATAAGTTCTTTAGCAATAATTGTTCAATTAAAAAATTTTAATTCAATTAAAATTCAATTAAAGTTCAATTTAATTCAATTAAAGTTCAATTTAAAATTCTTTAGCAATAATAGTTTAATTTTTAAAATAAAAGCAATATATGCTTTACAGAATAAATTTCATTATATTCTGGCATGAGTAAATAAAAATGTCAAGAATATATTTACACCCAATGAAAAGTTTAGCAAATAAATACTGTTAAATAAACTTTTAAAAGGTTAACTCATTCGCTACCAGCCGTTTTAACAAAAATCTTTTTGCTGCGACCGCACATTTTTTTCGAATAAAATTTGGATGGCATAAAATTGACAACTAATTTAAACAACTTCTCTGATACAAATGACCATGATCTGGTCAGCAGGACTTTTTTGTGAATCTGCAATCACAATATTCTGTTAAGTATTTTTGTTTACAAAAATTATCAAAATAGTAAGCATGTTTAGATTCAATTATTAGAAAAAGTCTACTCTGCATTTAAGCTGAAAATTTTATTTACTAAGGTTTGATTAGGAAGTGATTGATAATTTTTTAAGAATATACCCTCTAACCCAGCATCGCCTATCGGCAATGCATTTCTGCAATATAAAATGTCTAAGATGCCTAGTTTACAGTTTAATAAAAAAAAATTAGAGGCCAATTTGATGGGTATTAAGCTCTGATCTAATGTAGCTACTCTATGATCTGATTTAAAATATAATATGTCAAAAAATATACACATCTCATTTTTTTTTAAAGAAAAATACTATTTTCACAATTACAAGAAATTTCTGCACTGGATAGATCAGAGAAACAAGAAATTTCTGCACTGGATAGATCAGATAAAAGTAGCACTCAACTTGGAACCAGATTTGTATTTCTTTGGAAGGGATTCGTCTAGATCCTGTGATACTCAGACACAAACTTCAACCAGCTGTATATATATATATATATATCAGGCCTTCTATAAAGCGTCCGGAGATGTGAATTTTATGTCGTCCAAGAGCGATTTTGCGTGTAGCTAGGGCTATTTGCGTCGAGCAAAAAATTTTTTGTTTGAGTATATTTAAAGATATTTTTGAGCGGAATTTTAATGAAGTAATTTACGATTATTTTAACATTTAATAAAGTATTTTAAAAACCGCACGCAGTTGATATAAAAGTTTGAATTACAAAAAAATTAAATATGCTCATTATTTACAAGTAGAAAAAGTTCAGAGTAAAAAAAAAGTTTTAATCTTTTTAAGCTAACATTTTAATAAAATTATTCAGCAATAGCAAAGTTGTCAATAAAATTGAACAAAAATACTTTCTTTTAGTTTTAGATTTTTAACTTAAATAATTATTTTACGGGGGTTTGTTAGGTTTTAAAAGTATTCCATAGATTTAAAAGTATTTATTAACTGTTAGACATATTTAAAGTATTTAAGAGTAATTTCGAGAAAACATTTTAAAAATTGGTAAGCGCAAATAAAAAAATGTTAAATTAAAACGTATTCTACTTGATTCAATAAAAAAGTACAGTTATTAAAACTCAAAAAAAAATCACTTAAATAATAACAATCGCTTTTTTGTTAAAAGTTACAGAAACTCTTTATTATTTTACTAGAAATAAAATTCATTGTAAACATTAAAAATCTATTCAAAACATTTGTTAAAGTTTTTTATTAATACGTGTGATTGTGCTTATAACCGCTTTATAAAAATAAATAAAAATAAATAAATAAAAAAATATATAAAATTACTGTTAAAAATATAACTCGCTAACTTTTTAAAAAGAAAAAATAATTATTTGAAAAACTTTAAATTACATATTTGAGGAAAAAAAAATCAATTATTAGCATATTTTATAATCTTTTTTAAACGTTTAGTTATAACGTTTTTTATTTGTTTAGTATAGACAAAACGTGTCAAACGTCGAGAAAATAAACAAATGTTTATACATTTTAAAAACAAAACATTCCAAAACATTTTAAAATAATAACATTTCTACAATTAATGATTTAAAGTAGTTTTGCGGTAATTAAGTAAATTGGTGCAGTTAATGTCAATAAATATGAAAAGCGAATAAAAAGAATTTAATGACGTCAAAAATCACGTCGTGCTTATGTGTCGCACAGTTTTTATTCATCACAAGGCCTGATATATATATATATGTGTGTATATATATATGTGTGTATATATATATTTATATATATATATATATATATATATTTATACTTATTATATACAAATATATATATTTATACTTATTATATACAAATATATATATTTATACTTATTATATACAAATATATATATATACATACATGCAGGGCCGTCCCAAAGAGGTCCATGGAGGGAAGGGGGGTGTTGCATGTATTTTTGCCTACTTGAGACACACACACACAAAAAAAAAGGTCCCCAATATTTGCAATTTACCAACTATAATACAAAACTTGCTAAATATGTTAACTCAAATTCTTAAATGACAGCTAAGGGGTTGGAGGTTGGACACCCTGACAACCCCCCATTTTTTCAAGACGCCCTATATATATATATATATATATATATATATAAATATATATACACACACACACACAAATATACATACATATATGTATATATGTTTTATATATATACTTGTATGTATATATGTTTTATATATATACTTATACATGAGTTTTTGTTGAGTATTTAATATATACTTATATAATTTTGTAATAACTCTATTTAATTTCATAAATAAAATTTATTTTATTGATGAAATTAAACAGAGTTAAATTTTAAAAGTTCTTTTCCTTAGTTGTTCGAAGTATCCATAAATAAAAAGTATAAATTTGGTTACACTCCAATCAGCAAAATCATATTATTTATTTTTTATAACCTGTACCTTGATAATAAAAGCTTTTATTATCAAGATCTTGTTTAAGATCTTGGTCTTAAATGCAGATATATAAAGTTCAAAAAGTTAATCAATATTTTTCTTTAAAAATTAGGTTTATTCTGCTTGACTCAATGGGCTCATCATTTTTTAACTTTTTTAATAATTGGTTTCTTATTCTAATTTTTTTTTTATGAACTGGTTTATAATTTTTTTATTCATGTCAAGGAATTACCCACAATACAAATTTGAAATAAATAAATGCCAGTAATGGTCTATATTCAATATTATTACTAATAATATAAGTAATAATATTGAATATACACCATTATTGGCATTTATTTATTTCAAATTTGTATAGTGGGAAATTCCTCACTTGTGAATATATAGTAAGAACACAGTTATCATAGAAGTCTTTAACAAATTGTGATAAAAAAAAAGAAATAATAAACTAGTTCCTAAAAAAAAAAAGAATAATAATAAACCAATCATTAAGGAAGTTAAAAAACAATGAGGCCAAAGAGTCAAGCAGAATAAACTTATTTTTCAATGATTCTAATATTACAATTATATGTAATAATAAATAACCAATATTATAATATTACTATAAAATAACTTTTAAAAAGTTAAATTAAAAAATAAAAAAACATAATTTAATTCACATTTCATATTTTTAATAATATAAATGTAATAAATAATTTATAACAACTTGCACGAAAATCTATAACTTATAGATTTTCGTGCAAGTAGCTTATAGCTTTTATGCTTATAGTATAAGCATAAAAGATACAACAATGATCCAAATAATACCAAATTTTAACATACCCAGTATCTGCCATTTCTTCTCTGATACTTGAAAATCTGCGCAAAGCAAGAACAGGTTTATAGTGATTAACAAGGAACAACTTGTTCGTTGGCTTCAATAATTTACTTAAAGCAAACGTCTCTTTAAGTGTAACGCATGCAGCGATTAGTGCGAAACGTCGCATTTAGGAAGACTAGCATAAAAAAAAAAAAAAAAAAAAAAAAAAACCAAAACAACAAAGGAGCGACTTTAACGTGACTGGGGGAGGATGGGTATGGGTGGATAAACATTAAGAGCGGTTGGCGAAGGGGGAAAAGCCTTGTCCTCGGCCCCCCTTGGAACCGCTCTGGGAAAATGGAAATTAGTAACAGCGTGACTTTGACCACTGTGCCACGACTGCCAAATAATTAGTCCTTAGATAAGTGGCATTGAACCTCTGTTACCGTCTGGTATCATTTTCGGACTCGTTACCGTCTGGTATCATTTTCGGACTTCGGTATCATTTGGTATCGTAGCACGATTCATCACAAGGGTTTGTATTTATATTTTTATAAAAGTAATTTGAAATAGCAAATTTATACAAGTTATTATATAATTTTACTATTTCGAAGAACTAATATAAACTGTAAGTTTTATTTTATTAATTTCTATTTATTATGGTACTCCAAAAGACCTAATGTTCTTATCACAGAGCACCGCGAAGAAGCATTTAACCAGGAAGTCCACTCCTCTTTCCTTACCGATGTCGCTCATATAACAAGAACCGACATCGCACCTCAAACCTCTAGGTTTGAGCCAGAACCATAACCAATATGCCACTGCTGCTTAATTTTTATAAACTCATATAGTATAATTAAAAATCTCAAAGAATGTATGGTATCTTATAAAATCAATAGCAGTCTTTAGCTTTAACTGGCTTCCTAACGTCTTTAAATTTGGTCTCTAAGTTCAACAACAAGTTAATTTAATTTCTTTAAGATTTTTTCAATATCAATAAAACAGGGAATATTTCCTCAAGCTCTAAAATTAGCGAAAGTTATTCCAATATTAAAAGATGGTGACATTGAAAACAATAATTGGTATCGTTCAATTTCACTACTTTATGTTTTTTCTAAAGTTTTAAAAAGACGTTTTGCACAACAAAGTTTATTATTGTCTTATCATCAACAACTTGTTATACAGCAATCAATATTGATTCCAAAAAAAATAATTCTAATAAACGTGTAATTCTTCAATATTTTTTAGAAATATTTATGACTCATTTGAAATTTCTCAATTTACTTTGAGTATTTTATCGGTTTGACAAAAGCTTTTGAAACTATTGATCATAAAATTATTTTTAAAATTCGGAACGGTACGGAATTTCTTGAAATATATTAATTTGGCTGAAAGGTTACCTAAATAATCAAAATGATTAATTATGCGGATTTTTTTCTTCCTTTTTTCTTTAGATATTAAGGTACTTTAAAAAGACTTTTCGTTCTTATCGCAGAGCAACCTTAGCCCTAAGCATGGACTGTCTCCAACAGTATTTTATTCTTATTTTAGCAAAGTAAGCCATAATTACCCCACCAAGTTTTCAGAAAATAATTTTGTTACTCAAAAATATAATCTAAATTTATGTTCTTATTCTATTCAGTACTAGGGACTTATTTTGTGGAAAAAATTTGAACATATTGTTAATAATAAAGAAAAAACATTTCCTGGAACTTCATGCTTTTTGTGTTGAATGCAATGCATTCTAGTAGATTTGCATTAAGCAGTAAACGCCTTAAAGAAGCATAATAAGTTAAAAAAAGGGTGTAGCAGATGAGATAAAAGTACAAAAGGACAGATAGAAAACAAAAAGCCTCTAAAAAGAGAAATATTAAAAATTAATCATAGTTAAATGTAGTAAATATAAACAGAAATAATAAACAATAGTTGAGGAAAGTTTAATTAATTTTTGTGCCAATGAAAAGTTGTGTAGAGCGTAAAATTGATGTACAAGAGTGTCAGTCGTTGAGCAGAATTATTCGTTTTTTATAAAACGGATACCATGTGGTTTGTGTTGTTAGTAAAGTAAACATACATTGTAGATAAGTTTCTATATTGACCTCGAGACCACAGGACACTAGGTGGAGTTCAGTTTAACTTGCATACAATTGTAAGTAGTTTTTTAACATGAATGACAGTAAGTATAGTGATTTCAGTAACGGGTCTAGGTGTGGGGGAAGGGGATTGGTATGGGTATGTATCCCCCATCCCCCCAGAATCTGAAAGTCCTAAAATACCTTAGAAATTGAGGACCTTTGGACCTTCTTTTTTTTTTAGACGCAAATGAGGTACCAAATACAAAAATATTTCAACATCCCCCCACCCCCTCAAAAAAAAAAAAAAAAAAAAAAAAATTCCTGGATTCGTGAGGATTACTGCTTCAGCTACTTAACTGCTTCAGCTACTTCAGTTAAGTTGAAATGCCTAATAAGTTAAAAAGAGTGCAGCAGAGTGAGATAAAAGTACAAAAGGACAGATGTCCAGTGAAAAACAAAAGCCATCAATTAGGAAATTACTAAAAATTGATCTAAGCAAAATGTAGTAAATATAAACAGGAATAATAAACAACAATCGAGAAAAGTAAAAGTCATTAATTAACATGTTATTTAGTTATTACGGATTTTAATATAGTAGATTTTGTCTCTCTTTTTTAGAAGTTGTTAAACCAAATTTGTACAATAAATTTAAAAACTCTAGATCAAAAACAAAAAGAACAAAACCAAAAAATATTAAGAATTTTAATGTCTTTGTGAGACTTTCATTGAAAATATATAATCTTGAAGTAACCTACAAAATTGTTTTATTTTTTTAGTCATTTAATTTAAACATGACTCTTTTCGTAAATTATCTGATATTTACGGGTAAATTATCATTTATTTGTTTCAATATGTTTATGATATTGCAACAGAAATTTTATTTATTTTAATTTTGAATTACGATCTGTTTAAAACCCACAACGGACAAGGGCGGATCTAGGGTGTCGTCACTGATGCGCGTGCAATTTGTTAATACCTTTTCACTGCAGTTATTAATGAATCTAACATGTAGTGTCCCACAGGGATCCATAATTGCGTCCTTATTATTTTAATAAGCATAAAAGATCTTTACAAAGCTTTTAACTTAACCACTATAGTTTTCAATAGGACACTTTTTTATCCAACTTTCAGAAAAAAAGCCTGCCAAATAGGATGCTCTTTATTGATAAAACAATACTAAAAAAGAAAAAAAGTTACAAAACTTCTCAGATTTTTTGTATCATGGAAATAAAAAATCAAAAACATCTCCATGAAAGTTACTAAAAGTATTGGGACTATATATAAAATTAGACATATCATCAGCCGAGAAGAGGCTGTATGTCTACATTTTGTGTTTTTTCTGTTTATTGTCAATAAATATTCAACAACCAATTGGGTATGTGTCCAATAAAGCTAGTCTCAAGAATGATAGAACCTTTTTAAAATATTTAAAAAATTAGTCGGACATTCTAGCAGTAAGTCTTTACAAATTCAGTTTTAAAACTTGATTTTCTCTGAAACACAAAAAATGGACATACGACCTCTTGGTTCTCGGCTAACAATATGTTAAATAAACAACAATCAAAACAACTATACTATTAACTTAAATTTCTTTGTCATCATCGGAAACACGCAGCACGCTCAATTAATTTTGTAAATCGTTTTTTAAGTTTGAAGCCACTTTTGAAAGAAATGTATAAGAACTAGTATTGTTTAAATGAAAAAATCTCCTAACGTTTTTATAAACCTTTATAATGTTTAAATAAAAAAATCTCATAATGTTTTTATAAACAATCTTTGTAACCTTTCGGCCAAACTATATATGAAAAACTTTATTTTTTATCGTGGTTTTTTTTTATGAAACAAAATATTTTTGTATAATTGGTTTATTTTGATTATCTTTGTATTATATAGATTTATTTATATCTAAAGAATTTATTTATATGATCTTATGGAAATCCTGCTGATTATATTTTGTGATACATTTGTTTTGTAAAATTTATTTATTTCCGCTACGGAAAAAGTATGGAATGGAATGTGTCTAAATCTTACTTATCAAAATATGTTGTTGTTTAAATTATGTGTGTAAATGTGTGTAAATCTTACTTACCAAAATATGTTGCCTAAATAAGATTTATGCAAGAACTTGTTAAAATTAAATAAAATTCATGCGAAAAGTTAAAAGTAGTTTTTAACAAGGTTTAAATAAATTTTTTTTTTTCTCTTTAAAATAATTTTATTTTACATTTATTTACAGTTGTTTAAAAAATGAATTGCAAAGAAAAGCTATACTAGTTAACAATTCGACTCCAGACCTCTACTTGTTAAACTATTTAACACACCTCTGATGAAATGCAGGGCTGGATATAAAACAATTAAAAGTAAATATAACAAATAGCTTTTTTAATATAAAAATTTTCTCCAAATTACATTATAAATAAAAAATATAAAAATTTAGAAAAAAAAAATTATTTTGAGTTTACAACAAACAAAAAATCCTTTAAAATTTTTTTAAAAAAATCACTCATTCAAATTTTTTTTTGAATTTTCAGTAACAAGTAAATAAAACCATATATAAATATAAATAGCTAAAAAATACAGTTCAGAATAATATTATTTTTATTACTCCAATTAAAATCAGGTGCACCATCTACTTTCTTTTTGACTATGACAGTTTTGACTTTGCCACCAAGTTCAATGTTAAGGTTATCTTGAACATCTACGCGAATATTTGAAGCAACCATTCTATAATATAACGAGTAGAAAGTAATATTAAAACAAGCTAATAATAAAACAAGTAACGAAGCTAAAGTCGTTTATTATTTTATTGAGTATTATTATGCAGCTAAACAATTGCTTAAATTGTTGCATCATTTAAACGGTCTTAGTTGTTGTAACAATCAAATTGTTTCAACAGGCAAAAAAGTGAATGATGCAATTGGGTTAAACAAATAAAACACTTTTCAAATGGTGGTTTTACCCAAAAATGTTTGTTAGCTAGGCTATTGCACGTGACCGAGACACTATTACTTTGATACAAAATTACTTTGAAAAATAAGTCAAAATTTTTACTGTAAACATGGAAAAGATTGATTGGATAGTGGTAAAAAATGGGATGGAATCCAGTTCGTAAATAAAAAATTGGACCACTTAACTCTTGAAGATTTTTTATGCCTTGTTCCCTCTAAACGCTTTACACTTTTTCTTTTCTCGTATTTCTTTATTATCAAGTTGAGTACGCTTATTTAAGTCTAAATCTTTGAAAATTTAACATCATCCTTATCACCCGGTCATATTTGCGACATTGGTAAAGAAGGGGATGTGAACTTCCTTACTAAATGCTCTTTTGTGGTGTTCTGTGACAAGACCCTAGGGACTTCTTGAGGCACCTTAATAACCAGATAACAAATAGTCATTATCATCCTCAAAATTTTTAAATGAATTTTAAACTCAATTCTTAAGACAAAATTTAAATAAAACAACTTTACCATAGCAACAACTTTACCGTAGCATGAATATGTAAAAATATATTAAAACAAAAAATCCTTACTTTCGATATTGTTCAAATATTATTCCTACAAGTTCGCCAGATCGACACTCTTTTTTGTTGTTGTATAAACAAATTACTAAATCATTTCCAGGAATACGAATTACTAATAAATTATCAGATGTTGTAGTTACACCAAGTCCAGATATCTAAATTATAAATTAATTTTATTTTAAAAATCTAAAATAGATAAAAGTACTAAGATATATATTAACAAAACAAATTAAATTTTATGAATAAAAATTTTTGATTGTTGATGCTCAGTAACATTACAGGTAGTCATTCGGCTTTTTTTGGCTTTTCTTTGTTATTGAAAATCATAGATGTTATAGAAAATAATAATAATTATTTTACAACGTTTCAGTGTATGTAAGTATTCATAAAATCATTTAAAATACCATAAAGTTATAAACTAAGTTGTATAGTTTTGTTTCTAAAATAATGTAAGTACTGAATTATTATTTTCTAGAATTAGTAAAATAAGGGGAAAGTTTACCTGGCCAAAACGTACAGAGTAATACATTAAAGTTAATTTGAGCTTTACATTAAACTTTCAACACAAAAAAAAAAAAATAATTTTTTTTTTTTTTTACAATTTTTTGTATTTTTTTCAATTTTAAAATAAAATATTTTATAATTAATGTTTTATTTTTATTAACAACTTTTATTTATTTTGAAGGTTTTCTTTAAAAATAATTAAAAAACATTATCAATAAATACATCAGTAATATTGTTATTCTGATTAAAAAAATAAACTTTTAAATTTTGCTGCTAAATCTATAGCATCAATTTTGGCATGTTAAGAGCAAGCAAAGTTTAAATTTTGTCACTTAATTGTTGGAATATTTTCATGATTAATGTTTTATTTTGCAGCCCTAGGCATTGTAGAAAAGAGACATACGAAAAAAAAGATTAATTTTTATGTTTGTTTGATGATTTACTTGACAATTATTATAGTTTAACTTGAATTGTGTTTTTGGAAAAATACTGAGTTTTTAAGAAATACCACCGTTATTAAAATAATATTAACTAGGCGATTTTATTGAAATTTGTCTTATTTTTAAGCTCTTTCAAATCTGTATTTAAATCTGTTAATCACAACAAAAACTTCCCATTTAAAGTCCACTCTTCCAGATTTGGCACAATCAATCAAATACTTGGAAAAAAAATGTGTATACAAATAATGAATGCTTGGTAATGTTGCCTAAAACTTAAAACAAAATTCATTTTGAACATATAGTTTGTTTAAAAAAGCTGTTTTGAACAATTAAAAAATATTTTTTAAAAAATTTTCAGGCTTTATAAATATTTGTTTTTAAATAACGTTATTAAAGGCGTATATTGATAAACTGAAAGTTTCTTTTGCTTATTGTTTTTCAACTCCAGGATACATTTTTTACTTAAGTTGTGAAATGTTTTATTCTTCCCAATTATCCTCGTAGACAGAGTGCTTCAGAATTAACCAAAAGTCTTCAATAGGCCAAGCTTCTTTTACATTGTGAAGATATTTGAACTTTAGAACATAATAGATATTTTTCAATTCTAATAATCAATGATAACATTTTTATAATGAGAGCGGTAGTGATGCAGCGGTAGAGCATTTGCCTTATAAGCAAGAAATTCCGAGTTCGATCCCCACCATGTCCCTGGTAGTACCAAGTTCACTTGTTTCTCCGTGCATTAGCCTTGTTTGTCAAGATTCATGTTTCGGAGTTGAAGAGTTGAGAGAGTGTTGTAACCACAATCAAAGTACAACTTTTGTGGCCAGTAGTAAAAATGCATTAAAAAAAAGAGGATAAAATTAAATAGCTAAAACAAATACTTTCAGTGAACTACAGAAGAAAAAACAGCCTAATGAAGAAAAAACTAGATAATTGTTTATACTAATTTAATATTTGCTCATCAAAAAAAAAAACATCAAGAGCTTTAAAATTAAATTAACTCAATCAACTTTGAAAATACTGTTCCGGGTAACTAATTTTTGTTTTGTAATTGTTGTTTTATATATAATATTGTTGTAGTTTATTGCTAAATAATTGCTAATAATTAACCAAATTAGATCAAAATATCAAGCTCATTCATTCAAGGTTCAATTACTAAAAACTCTCTTGTGAAAAAATTCTCTCACAAAGAAGCTATTCTAATACTTTTTTCTCCTTTCTTTTCTTTTGTATTCTCTAATTATTTCATTTTGCATTACTGATTTTATATCCGTATAAATCAGTTTCCTTTTTGCAATATATTCTGATTGCTTTGCAAAAATGTATTTTGAAAAATAATTTAAGTGAGACACATCTATATTGAGTAAATAGGACTTCATGGTTATCGACTCAATAACACTCTTAGACTTATATCAAGAAGTTTATTAGAGTTTAAAGATAGTCTATGCCAGGTACTGCAGGTAGCTAAATTCCCAGGTTTGAACTGGGTACCTGGCACATCATGAATGTATATATATATATATATATATATATATATATATATATATATATATATATATATATATATATATATATATATATATATATATATATATATATATATATATATATATATATATATATATATATATAGGTATATAAAACATCAATTGCTTACTAGTTTTAATTATCTTTATAGCATACAGCTATTTTAGAAAATGAAGAAAAGAACAAAAAACAATGAAAAAATTGCTGCCCCATCCCAAAATATTCAAAGGATTGATAAAGTTGTGATTTTTCAAAGAATTCATACTAAGCGATAAGTCTCGATTGCTCGAAAACCAGTATAATTGACATATCTTTTTCTTTGAAAATTTATATTAAATGACATGTATTTAAATTGAAGTGTTGAAAAGAATGTTTGAACTTGCATTCTAATCATTGTAGCATTTTGAAAATTTAAATGAATGATGTATTATTTATGATTTTTTAAAAGAAATTCCATGTTCAATGACATCCAAATAGTTAAATTAGACAGAATTAAGCATTATATCATTTTAGTTTCTAAAAAATATATATAAATTATTATGTCATATTTACTCTATATCTACATAACAGAATACGTTTCTTTTTTCATTTGGTATGTATAGATAAATGTCCTTTTAAAATATTGTTGTAATAATGCTGTTAAGATATATCCTTACAATTATACAATAACATTAATACTATAACATTACTATCATTAGGCTACCTATTTTTTTTCAATTATTTGCATGCAATTAGGTTCATAATTAACCAAACTCGATAATTTGAGATATTAAAATGATACAGCAAATTCAAGAGTAACTTCTATTGCTCGGTAAATATTTTTTGGTCACATAATTTTTTATTTTGCTTATAGGTGAGTACGTGACATCAACAATGGGCATTGCATCAAGAAAACCGCCTTGAAGGTATCGGAAATTCTGGCATCCAAAGTCAACAAACTAGTTTGATTTCCAAAATCTGAAAGAAATGCCCAATATGAAGCCAGAATATCAAATTTTCGAGAAGATGCTGAATATAGCCTTTTTGACATTGCAATTGCAAATATGCTAAAGGTTCATCTTGTTCTTGCAACAAACCTAAAAAAGTACCACTGTCTGAGCAACAGTTTCTAGAAAACCAGAGGACTACAAGAAGGATGATGATTGACAGTTGACAGTCATGCTACAAAATTATTGATCCACAAAAGAATGAGGCAGACTCAAGAACTCAAGAAACAAGAACAACGGAATGAATGAAAAAATGTAGCAAAAGCTTCAAATCGATAAGCTCTCACCGACTGAGCTGTTGCTGAAATTACATCAGGTGTCTTACAAGATTTTAGCATAGTAACGTATAGCCAGATTCAAAAGGAGCAAAATAAGGAGAGAATGTCAGAAGTATCGGTGTTTGGTTTGTGATATTTGTTTTGATGTCCATAGCATTTACTTTGATGGCAGGAAAGATAAAAACAATAATAAATGAAAATCTTCATGGAAAATTTCATCGGAGAGTAACAGTGGAACAACATATCTCTCTTTTCCAAGAACCAGGATCAAGTTATTTAGGCCATGTGACCCCAAAAAGTGGCACGAGTAAGAGCATAATTCAAAGTATAATGGCATTTATTCAATAGAATAACGTAAACACAGAGAACCTATAGTTTCTCTATACCAGTTGGGCAAATTGTGAGAAATTGCCCGTGGTACAGTTTTCGAAAATCGAATGTGATTATCAGAGTGTGGGCATTGCTGATCTTAGTTCAGATCAACAGCATCTAAATGATACTTGCGTTGCTGTGAACAGTGGTCTTTGTCCACCATCTCTGTCTCACAGGGAACCAGGGAAACTTGTTATGTCTTACTGGGTCACACTGGATAATAGAGTTCTTAGATTATATATTGATACATTACATCCAGCTGATAATCTGAAAGTAGTGGCTGAATTTATAATGAAAGTCTATGCACCAATGTGGTTTACAATTAAAGCAAAACCTTCATGCAAGGATGGTGCTTGACACTTGTCAATGTCAATTCATAAAGCATGTTATTTACCAGATAATATTAAAGCCATTGTTGATCCAGTAATTCAACATAATGAATTCTTTGGTCACCCTGAGAATATGCTGCTAAGTAAGATAACTGACGACAGGAGGCATGTACAAGAACTGGGACTGCAGCGAATATTGCGAGCTCAAGTAAACAAGCAGCCTAATTGACCCAAAAATGGAATTAAGGTGTTTCAGGTACCAACTTTTAACATGAATGCTGAAGATTACATTGAGCTAATCGACTGGCAATTAGGCACAGTGACTGAGCTACCTGTTACAAAATTTTTGTCTGATAATGAGTTGGAATCATTTTTTAGCAGTGGAAAAACACATATTATTGAATTTTCTCATTTTCCATGCCATACGCAGGCAGTTGAAAGATGTATAAAAAATGTTACCAAAGCTTCAAAGGCAGTCATGGGGCAGGAAGCTTGAGATGGTTTCATCCGGGTGAGGAATGCCACAAAACAAGAATACTGCACAGGGTGACAAACTGATTTCAACATTATAGGGCAATATTTTGAAAAACTAAATCTTGCAAACAATGTTGTTTAATTAAATTTTTGTGATTTTTTATCATTTTTCATGCATTTGTGGCCTGTGACTTTAGCGATTTCTTTGAAAAAAATCATAAATTCATCATTTTTTTAAATTTTTTAAAAGCTAGAATGTCTAGAATGCAAAATCAAACATTCTTTTCAACACTTTAATATAAATAAATGACATTTAATATCAATTTTCAAAGGATTTCTGAGTTATGTCAATTATAACGGTTTTTGAGCAATCGAGACTTTTTGCTTAGTATAAATTCTTTGAAAAATCACAACTTCGTCAATCCTTTGAATATTTTAATGATTTTTATATTGTTAGACTTAGATTTGAATGTTTGGAAATTGAAAAATTGGAATACGAAAATTTGGAGTTTCCAATAGTATAATACACTCTATGACATTTGGGAAAAAATTATTTTGCAAAAAATATTGACTTTTTACAAGTAAACAAAATTTTCCAAAATATAAATCGCCAGTAGAGGGCAGAAGACATCATCCAAAAAAAAAATTTTTTTTTGCCAAGACACCTACCCAAGTGACAACTTTTGGTAACTATTAGAATTCATTGAGAAAAAAAAATTTGTTGAAAATTGTGAAATTACTTCAAAGTACACACATGTTGAAAATTGTGAAATTACTTCAAATCGCACATGTTGAAAATTGTGAAATTACTTCAAAGCACACATGTTGAAAATTGTGAAATTACTTCAAAGCACACATGGCAAATTGTGAAATTACTTCAAAGCACACATAGCAAATTATAAGTGAAATTAGTGAAAATAAGAAAATAAAGTTATGTTTAATACTATAAAAACCTATGACATTTTTATACCCGAACAAATACTAAAAAAATTAAATAAATTTTTTGTACCTGTTGAACTGAATTATGATTAATACAATAAATTATTATGACTTTTCCATAACTCGAAAAAGAGTAATGGAAAAATATTTTTTAGAACTTGAATGTGCTTATAAAATGCTTGAAACTAACAAACTAATTGGTCATGATGATATAAATTGTAGTATAGTTATAGATTTATGTGATACTATAAAACATATTCTTTTAAATCTTTTAAATATTCAATATATCAAGAAACTTTCCATGATCAATGGAAAACAGCTAACATTATGTCTATATTGAATTATGGTGAACCATCAAATGTCAAATTATTGACCAATATCTTTTCTCAATGTGTTTCAAAAAATTTAGAAAGATCTTGATGTTAATATACTTAACAAGAATCAAGTTTCAAAAGAAATAACTCTACAAAACATGCTATAATTTATCTTGCATAAAGTATAAATGATTCATTTGATAATTTAGAATTTACTTTCGGCATCTTTATAGACTTCTTCCACAAGAATCTATACTAGGATCTTTATTAGTTCTAATTTATTATTAGTTTTCCTATCTAATGATAACATTGATAAATTTTTTTAAGATATGTACATTTAACTATCAAAAATCTCTGACTGAATCAAATCATATAAATTTTCACTCAATATTGATAAATCTAAATGGACTCTCTTCCATCAAAGTTTAAAAAAAAAATTACTTCCAATAGATATACTTCTTCTATACATTGATAACATTCAAATAAAAGTGTTCACAAACTTTCTAGGTATCATTATAGATAAAAATTGTGCAAGCTTCACATTAGACACTTATGCAACAAAATAATTTTATATAAAGCTAAACAAACATTTATCAACTCAATTATATTACTCTTTTATACACTACTTATATTAATGTTAATATTGCTTGGGGTAAAACCCGTAAAATTATAATTGAAACCACTATATTGTCAACAGAAGCATATTGCACGTCTTATAAATTTCAAAAATCATTTTATTCATTCAAGGATTCTCTTATGTAACTTAAATATTCTTAATATTCATTTAGTAAATGTTTTTAATGTTCTCTGTTTAATGTTTAAATGTAAAATCTCCAGCTTTCTTTCTTGATTTATATTCTTTATAATAAAAAATAAATCTTCTTTAAGAAATGATAATTTTTTAAACAACCTGTTTTCCAAACAAACTTTGGTAAAACTTGCATTTTCTTTCCAAGAGCTTTTTATGGAATCAAATAAATTTAAAAAATTGCAAATATACTTATATACTTTTAAATAATATCCAGTTTCATTATACCTAATTATATTTTATTTTATACAATATAAAATCAAAATGTGAGAAACTTGATTTAACATTATTTAAATTTTGTTAAAAATTGCAGTGTCATTAACTATTTGTTTATTTTGTTTATTATTTTACTTTTATTTGTTTATACTGCATTATTTTTTTAGCATTAATTAATGTGCAAGCGTCCACATATCAACCCTCAGAATTAGGGTCAGCATTCGATAATGCTGACCTAACTACCAACCTAAAAATTTTTGGGGTGGACAAAAAATTGCCGACCTCATTTTACTGACCGATGTTTTATGGTCAGACCTTTGAATCAAATTTTTGCAGAACTGATGCTAACCTCAAAAAGATTGAGGTCAGCAAATTATTGCCGACCTCATTTTTCCTAATTCCAAGGGTTGATATATATATATATATATATATATATATATATATATATATATATATATATATATATATATATATAAAATACAAAAAAAAAAAAAAAAAAAAAAAAAAAAAAAAAAAAAATGGATGCACGTGTATGGATGCATATTTTCAAATATAAGTATGTATGCTACTTTTGGAGGTGAAACATAATTTGGAAGTATTATATTATTATACAAATAACTGTATTACTTTAGTGTAAAGAATTATTGATTTACTTTTGTGTAGGGAATAATTTTCATTTCTTTATATTTTGTGTTTAACTTCATCACACCTTTATCAGTAACAATAATAATTCTGTCTTCTGTTTTTTTATGTTTGTTTACCTAAAATTAAGTATTTAAATTCTAGATTTAAATTTCTAAAATAGAAAAAATAATAAAATATAAAAAAAAAAAAAAAAAATTATTATTTGCTGCAATCATAAAACAAACAACTTACAGTTAAGTAATTAATTTATTGTTTTATGAAATTGTTAAGTTAATAAAAAATATAAAATATAGAAAATAAAAATACCTTTCGCATAAATGATGAGAACAACACCTTTCCACGATTCCATTCAGAAGTAATTCTTTTATAAAGCTCAAAATTTCTGTTTTCAACATCCTAAGATTTTATAAAACTAAATTTAAAATTCTATAGTTGGAAATTCTAAAATTCATTTTAGAATTTTTAGCCATAGAATGAGGTGGAAAAAAATTATATAGAAAAAAACAAGATGAGTTTTAGAAAACAAAGATTTAAAACAATAATAGTAGGGGACATTTTAGCAAATTTTTCATCTTTGATAAGACACTTCAATTTCAAGGTGTACTTTTCAATTATTTCATCTTTTATAAGCTGTTTCGATTTCAGTGTGTACATTAAAACCATTTTTTAAGTGTGCTTTTAAATTATTACAGAATAAAAAAGAAAGGAGCAAATAAAACTTTTTATTTTCTTTTTTGCATTCAATTCAATGAACCAAAAAATAATATGTTATATTATAGCTAATTTTAATTCTTTTTATGTTGAAGTTTTTCACATTATTTTATAACAATTTCTTCTCAAAATCAAAATCTCATTTCAAAAACTTCAAAAACTAAATGAATAGTAATCTTCTTGATCTTACATAATGAACTCATAATGAAACATACGATCGTCTTGAACATAATGAACTCATAATGAAACATACGATCGTCTTGAACATAATGAACTCATAATGAAACATATGATCGTCTTGAACATAATGAACTCATAATGAAACATACGATCGTCTTGAACATAATGAACTCATAATGAAACATACGATCGTCTTGAACATAATGAACTCATAATGAAACATACGATCGTCTTGAACATAATGAACTCATAATGAAACATACGATCGTCTTGAACATAATGAACTCATAATGAAACATACGATCGTCTTGAACATAATGAACTCATAATGAAACATATGATCGTCTTGAACATAATGAACTCATAATGAAACATACGATCGTCTTGAACATAATGAACTCATAATGAAACATACGATCGTCTTGAACATAATGAACTCATAATGAAACATATGATCGTCTTGAACATAATGAACTCATAATGAAACATACGATCGTCTTGAACATAATGAACTCATAATGAAACATACGATCATCTTGAACATAATGAACTTAGTAACTACGTAATAATTACATAATAATTAACTTACATAATGAATAACTTACTTAGTAATCAACTTGTGCCACCTGCCCCACCCCCTACAATTAGACAAAGAGAGTACTCAAGAGCAAGTAAATTTAGCATTAAATTTCCTTTTTGTTTTTATTTCTGCTTTTGTGTTTTAGTGCTTTGTTCTAGAGAAAATTTTGTTTGTGTATTTCATTCAGAAACCTTTTTGATTCATTAAAATACTAAAATATACTGTTAGCAGACTACTGGGGGATCGTGATCAACACTGCCAGGCAAAAAACAAAACAAAACAAAAAAACACGATGTAATGCAGAAGACTTATGTTTCAGCCAAACAAATATATATATACTTTCTAATTACAGTAAACTATTATAAAGGTCTTAAAAGTGTCTTTATAACATTTTTAGAAAGGTTTTTTTTAAATATTGTTAACTTAAATTTCAAACTTTTTGAAAGGAAAACAATCTTTATTTTCAATATTAAAGCTTTTTGAAACACTTCTTTTTTTAACTCAAAAGTCATGATGCCACAATATTTATATAAATTTATGTAGTCAAAGCATTGATATACAGATCCACAAATTTTTTTTAAATTGGCGACCAGTGAAATTAATTTATATGCATAGTTTAGATGTAAAAACTTACTTCTTTTAAATAATCGCCACTCCATTTCCTAATTAGACCAAAATCTTGTTTACGTTTTGCAAGAGCTTCAATTGCAGAACTTTTTATACGAACCTCACCCCATTGTTCTCGGGGAACAGATCTAAGCATCATGCCACCTCTCCACCTGTATAAAAACACATTAGTATCAAATAAATTTAAGAATATAAATGAAAGTAGAAAAAAAATTCTCTTTGACCATTTTAAAATTTTGCAATAAAATTTTTAAACCATTTTAAATCAACAAAAAATTTGGAGATTTCAATTGCAGTTTTTAGAATGTTCATTTCTTTTTTATTCAATTAATTACACTGGTCAACAGAGAAATTGTAACAAAAACAAAAATAGCTGTAATATTAATTTAAGGGTGCTGAAAACAAATCTGACATTGAAAAATTTTGTTTAGCTCAAGTTTCAAAGTTATCGTTAGAGGTCTTGTCGATTGATTTCATGGCTTTTCATTGAATGTGTTGACTTCTTTAATCATGTTTTTTGTTTCATATGTTTTTTATGCAAATAAACTGTTTTACTTGTTTGTTTCATATTTTATTATAAAATATAGTGACATTATTTCATTAACTTTAATCAAATATGTCAAGAAATGCGTCAATGATCTGGATTCATTCTGTTATGCCTGTGGCAAAGTGTCATTAGTTTCACAGAAACGTACTACCACACCAGTGATCAGAAAATCTTACCATTTGTACTTTAGTTTTAAGTTAAAAGATCAAGAGCAACCCTTGTTTCCTCACATTTGTTGTTCTTCTTGTAGTTCAGGGCTTTCTAACATGGAAAATAATGAGTCATACCATTTGTGGTACCCATAATTTGGAGGGAACCAACTGATCATGTTACCAACTATTACTTTTGCATGGTACCTTCCATAGATCATGGCATCACAAAGAAAAGGACACAAACAAAAATATTCCAAATGCCTTGAGACTAGTACCGCATGGTGAAGATCTTCCTCTTACAGACCCACCAACTAACATACCGACTGAGTTCAGTGATGATGATGCCAATGACAACGTAGAAGCTTCAGAGCCATCAACTTTAGAAGATGTAACATTTCTACCAACTGTAGCTGACAATGATTCTTATCGAATCTCCTAAAATGAACATAATGATTCGATTTAGGACTGTCTAAGAGCAAGGCTGAAATATTAGGATACAGATTACAACAGTAGAATCTACTTCAAGATGATGCTAGAATAAGTGTATTTCACAGCAGACACAGTCAGTTTAAATCATATTTTTCAATGGTAGAACAAGTTGTCTATTGTCATAATGTGGCTGGTTTAATGGATGAGCTAAAGATTCAGTATGCTAATGAAGAATGGAGACTGTTTATAGACTCGTCAAATATAAGTCTCAAGGCTAAACTCTTACACAATGGAAACACTTTACCATCAGTTTCCATCGCTCATGCAGCTGGATTGAAGGAAGTATATGACAATATGAAGATAGTCCTAGTCAAGATCAAGTATGAAGAACACCAGTGGCAGATTTGTGGTGAAAGTTGTAGCACATATTCTAAGGTTGTACCTTGGTTATACAAAGTTCTGTATTCTCTGTGAGTGAGATAGTAGAGTGAGGGTGGATCTTACATCAAATGGGAATGTCTAAGAAACAATCCTTAGAACCTGGTGTCAAAAATATGATTCATGTAGCACTTCTTGTGCACAGTAAAATTTTTCTGCCCCGTCTACATATAAAACTTGACCTGATGATAAATTTTGTAAAGGCCTTGATCGAGATGGTGCAGCATCTAAATATTTGATTTCAAAGTTCCTTAAGTTAAGCCTGGAGAAAATCAAGGAAGGTGTATATTCATAGGTCCACAAATACGCGTGTCACAAAGAAGCTGTGTACAAGCGAGAATATAAACGCCCTAGATTGTCTAACGTGAAATAACTAAACGTTTTTCTATTGTAATCTATGTATAATATATGCATAAACCCAGTAAATTGTATCTATACATTGCATAAAAACAAGAGAATCACACAGTGATTTCAATATGATATTTTCTCAGCATGATTAACAGAAAAAAAATATATAATTTCTATTCTGTTACACAAAAAAAGTTAAAATTTTTTGTCCAGTGTTATCTATTGTCCAAAAAAGACTTTATCTTGTTATTAGTATTACTTTGACATTAGATTAAAACTTTTGTAAAATAGAAAATACAAAAAATTGATTAATTAAGAGTTAATTGTGAAAGTTAGAGACCCTAGTAATGAAAAACTTCAAACTAGTAATAAAAATACAAGAGCTAGAATTACTCCAGAAAACAACTCTGATACAACAACACTTGAACAGCTTATTGACTGGGCTATCTCCTTTGAGCCTGTCCTTACATCTGACAACAGATGAAGTAAAAAAAAAAATATATTTCAGCCTATAAATGTTGTTGGCAGTCTATTGAAAGTAGATTTAAACAAGTAATTGAAACAAAGTATATTCTAATCAAAAATGAGATTTTAGTGAGAATAGGATGTATTGAGACAGTTGATGTCTGTTAATTGATCTCATTAAACTAATTGATCAAAGTAAGGTTTTATCTTAATAACAAAGATAAAAGAGATATAAATTTTGTTCTGTTAAAAAAAAAAAGATATTTTAAAAAGTTATCAAAAAATTAAAAAATCTTTTTTAATAAAAGATAAATAAGGTAAGTAAATATAAGTAAATAATTATCAAAATTAAACTATTAATAATGTTATTAACATCTGGTGGAGTTTTTTTTTTAATTTTTTACTAAATGAGTTTTTTTTTTAAAGAAAAAAAAAAAATTTTATATATTTTTTGCAGTTTTTTTAAATTATGTAACATTACTTATAATACTGTAATACTTTTATAAACATATAAAAATAACAAAATAAATTTTACACTTGTTATTAATTCTTTATATATACCATTGTTATTTAAGCTAAAATATATAAAGAAACTAAAAAAACTAAAAACTAAAACAAACTTTCAATGTAATGTATTCTTTTGGTTACCCGATTTACTTAATGAAAAATGGTAAAAACAATGCTAAACTACTATTACGAGCACCATAGTAATGTCAACAGCTATTTGACAAGCACCACAGTGATGTCAACAGCTATTTGACAAGCACCACAGTGATGTCAACAGCTATTTGAAAAGCACCACAGTGATGTCAACAGCTATTTGAGAACCTAATACTATGAACATCACATTTTTAGTTTATATAAACTGTAATATTATGGTCACCATACAAAAGTAGTTTAAAAAAAAAAAGAAGCTATTTGATATTTATTGATAAAAATATACAACCGCAAGTAAAAATTTATTACACTTATTTAATTATATATTAATACAAGTTTTTAGAGCACAGGGTTTTCAATCTGGAAGAAAAAAACAGTATGAATCTCATAATTAAAAAGTCTCTATAAGTTAAAAAATACCTTTTAAAAAAAGAAAGCAATAAAGGGTCCAACTTCCCAAGAATTAAAGGATATTTTCCAACATGAGGCCAAGGAAGATCTCTTCCAAAATGCACTTCATGCTTTACATTACTAAAAAAACAAAACTTGTTTTAAAATTTTTTAAAGTTTGCATTAGTATATAAACATCATTTTTTACTTATCTTAAATTTTTTAAAAACTTTTAAAAACTTTAAAATGTAGACAAACACTTTCCTAAAAACTTATACACACAAACTAAAACCTTTTCGTTTTAAATGCATATGGTTTGATAATCATGTATCAACCTAATGTTTGTGAGCAATGTATTAAATGTAATGCACTGTCTGTAAAAAATCCAGAAATAAGTTTGTTAGCAGAGAAAAAGTTTAGCAAGCTGTTAAAGTAATTCTAAAAATGGATAAAAACTATTACACATTTTAAGGTTTTATTAAATTTTTTTAGCTCTTCAAAAATTAATTTCATGTTTTAAATAAAACTTAATTTCAAACAAAAATTTAATTTCATGTTTTTAATAAAACTTATTAAACATTTTATGTTTTGAATAAAAAAAAATTATACAAATCTACCCAGTTACTATGAGTACTAAAATGCATATCTTTTTCTTGTTCCAAATTTCATAAAACACCATTGCTTTTTACTTAGATTATTCTGCAAACAACAGAAATTTCAAAATTTAAAGATCACTTGATAATATACAAAAGATAATCCATCCTAATTATAAATTAAAACTGTTGCAGTACAATTGTTTACTGTTGTTAAAAACAACAGCAAACATTTGTTATAGCATTTTAATAAGATACTTGTAAGTTCATGGTATCTTAATGAGATATTAATGACACAAGAAAAAACATAGTGTTACAGAGATTTTTTTAATAAGGCTCATGCTAGATTGGTTTTTGCAAAAGATTTGAAGAAATTCAATAATTAAAATAATATTATCTTATGTCACACTATGTATATAATAAAATATGTACATAATGTAACATAAGATAATATTATTTTATTTAATGAATTTATTCAAATCTTTTACAAAAACCAATCTAGAATGAACCTTATTAAAAAACCCTCTGCAACACAATGTTTTTTCTTGTGAAAAAAAAAAAATAACTTGCTAAGCTAAAATATTTTTTTGTAAAAACTTTAAAGATTCTTTCTCTGATGATATTTAACAACTTTAAAATTTTACTTAGTTCTACACCATTTTAAATTATCTATCATATATAAATATAAGAGGAGTTCTCTCAGGATTCTTGAGAACAAAAAACCTGAGTTTTTACAAACAGTGGTTTTGTTAGTTATGCATCAATGATTTACATATATTAATCCTAATGGCTTGCTGGCTGTGTATGTTAAAGGTTTGATAATCATTTTGATAATTCACTTAAAAAAAGTTATATATATTGTTAAAGGATATTTTACAAATATGAAGCAATAAAAACAAACGCGAATTTTGTCTTCAGTTCAACAACATATTCAGCAATTTTATGTCTTCGCCAGTTTCTCATGATCAACAAGGCAGCACATAATCTTTTTACATATAAACGTGCTTTATATCCTCTCCAAGACTAAAATTTAAAAAATACTCTAATGTTAATATAATTAGAAAAATAAATAAAATGAAAAAATAAACTTAATATAAAAACCTTTTGAATAATAAGAGTAACTTTAGGCAACTGTTTAAACCTTTCCTCTTCTAAGGAAAATAAAGTTTGTGGACTTCTGATAAATATTTTTGTCTTTCCATACTTTACATCATTCTCAAAATGAAACTTTTCAATAATTTTAATACAACCCTCTTTTGAAGCTTTGTCCCAACTAGGCCATGTCTCTTCACATATAACTTTGTACCTTAAAAAAAAATGATTTTGATAAAATGTTCACATATTCTTTTTGAAATACTTTGTTGTTTTTACTATAGTTTTTAATTTTGAACAGTTTAGTAATATTTTTGATAATAAAAATATTATTTGTACATAACTAATAAACAAACAAATAGTATAAATATAACAATAAAGAAATTTAGTGAGAACAACACACAAATTATGTGGGGACAACACACAAATTTTGGTTGAGAAATTTTCTGATAACAGAAAAGCAATAATTAGGCAGCTAAAAAGTGTGAAAACAAAAATAAACTACATTAAAAAAAGTGTGAAAATAAAATAAACAAAAAACCTTTGAAAAAATCTATCAAAATGTTGTCGATTTGCAAATCCAGCACGACGCACTCGAACATTTTCCAATAAACCAAGGTAACGGACCTGAAAAAAAATAATTTTTTATTTATAGTTTCATATGAAACTATAAAAATGATTTTTAAATTATCATCAATTTCTGCTAACATTTTCACAAACTTTTCAATGAATATTCACTTCAGATACAAAAAATCTGTAAAAAATTTGCTGCAAAGTACACTTTCTAATAAAAGTTTTCTAGATCAGCAGAAAAAATATTTTGAAAAATCTCAGCAAAATTTGGAAAATTATAGAATCTTATAAAACAAAAAACCTAATATTAACAAATTAAATTATAAATTTAGTATAAGTTACGTTAAATGATTAAAACTTTCAAAAAAATATTTTTTATCTTGTAGATTTATTTCATTTATCTTTTACATAAATTTGTGTACATGATAGTTTAACTTTTTTGAATTAAGAAATAAAAATAAAAGTAAGAAATAAAAATAAAAGTATAATAGAAGAATAAAAGTAAGAAATAAAAATAAAAAGTATAATAGAAGAATAAAAGTAAGAAATAAAAAAAGTATAATAGAAGAATAAAAGTAAGAAATAGAAATAAAAGTATAATAGAAGAATAAAAGTAAGAAATAAAAATAAAAGTATAATAGAAGAATAAAAGTAAGAAATAAAAATAAAAAGTATAATAGAAAAATAAAAGTAAGAAATAAAAATAAAAGTATAATAGAAGAATAAAAGTAAGAAAAAAAAATAAAAAGTATAATAGAAGAATAAAAGTAAGAAATAAAAATAAAAGTATAATAGAAGAATAAAAGTAAGAAATAAAAATAAAAGTATAATAGAAGAATAAAAGTAAGAAAAAAAAATAAAAGTATAATAGAAGAATAAAAGTAAGAAATAGAAATAAAAATAAAAAGTATAATAGAAGAATAAAAGTAAGAAATAAAAATAAAAAGTATAATAGAAGAATAAAAGTAAGAAATAAAAATAAAAGTATAATAGAAGAATAAAAGTAAGAAATAAAAATAAAAAGTATAATAGAAGAATAAAAGTAAGAAATAAAAATAAAAGTATAATAGAAGAATAAAAGTAAGAAATAAAAATAAAAAGTATAATAGAAGAATAAAAGTAAGAAATAAAAATAAAAGTATAATAGAAGAATAAAAGTAAGAAATAAAAATAAAAAGTATAATAGAAGAATAAAAGTAAGAAAAAAAAATAAAAGTATAATAGAAGAATAAAAGTAAGAAAAAAAAATAAAAGTATAATAGAAAAATAAAAGTAAGAAATAGAAATAAAAGTATAATAGAAGAATAAAAGTAAGAAAAAAAAAAAAAAAGTATAATAGAAGAATAAAAGTAAGAAATAAAAATAAAAAGTATAATAGAAAAATAAAAGTAAGAAATAAAAATAAAAGTATAATAGAAGAATAAAAGTAAGAAAAAAAAATAAAAAGTATAATAGAAGAATAAAAGTAAGAAATAAAAATAAAAAGTATAATAGAAGAATAAAAGTAAGAAATAAAAATAAAAGTATAATAGAAGAATAAAAGTAAGAAATAAAAAAAGTATAATAGAAGAATAAAAGTAAGAAATAAAAAAAGTATAATAGAAGAATAAAAGTAAGAAATAAAAATTTAATGTATTTAACAAAATGATGTTTGTATTAATGGTAACTAACAAATACCTGATGAGATATAAGTTCATCATCAAACTTTAATGGTGACTTAATGGAATTGGGTTTTATGCAACGCACATAATAAGGTTCCTAAAAATAAATATTTTATACAAATAATAATAATGTTCCTAATAATAGCATTTTAACACAGAAAAAATTTACCTTTTTCAGAAGATTTTCAACCAAAGCTATCATTGAATTTTTAAATATGGTTCCTGTAGTTTGTGGGCGTTTAGTAACCTAAAAAGGTTTAAACTTTAAATTTTAAAAAACAAACATTTTTGGCTGAATCAAATTTCAGCCAGAGTTTAAGAAAATAAAAGTTCAGGAATGAATATTATATATATGAAAACCAGGTTTTTGCAATACACAATAAACACATGAATAAAGCAAATGAAGCACTCAAAGATGAAAACGAAGATGAAAAACTTAAAAAAGTACTAATCAACAATAGCAAACTTTTCAGTTTTCCATTTTTTGATTCAATAAATAGCAAACTTTTAAGTAGTTTCAATCGAATCAATTCCAATCAAACAAAAAACTGAAATCTTTCTAATATCAGTGGTACACATATGAAGATCTGAAATATGTGAAAAAATCAGAAATGGGAATATAAGTTTCTTATTTTTGGAGTTAAATCTGAATCTGCAGATATGGTCAGATATCGCATCTAAAGTTAGCAGCAATAAACACAGGTTCAAAAAAAATGCATTATTGGCGTTTACAAAGCAGAAATCTCAACAACTTAAACAGCGTTAGTATTATAGTTCTAACACAATAAAATCTCTAAGGAGTAGGATGTTCTAAAAAAATGAAATTTAAAATTTTTACTTTCATTTCTTCTCATAAGATAAACGATATAATATTACAATTGTTTTTTTTTTTTAAATTAGGCCAGTTTAGCAAATAGAAAACATAATCTAGACAGGCAATAGAAACACACTAATCATCAACTTAAAACAATTCATCATTTACAAAATGTACTTATATGCATTCCTTATTTTAAAATATAAAACTTTTATAATGTGATAATACAGACAAAATTTTTATGTAAGACAGAACTTTTTATGTAAACTGATGTTATAGACTGAAATATACAAAAAATAGACAAAACTTATATATAATATGATAATATAGGCAAAAAGTAAAATTTTTATGCGTCAACAATGTGCTTTGTTTGACATAGCATTGACTAAAATTTTACCTGCGTAATATCTTGTTTACCTTCAGGCCACATTTCTTTGAGGATGCTGTGTTCACTAAAGTTTAAAAATATACTAAGAATTAAATATATACATAACATAATGCCAATTATATATATATATATATATATATATATATATATATATATATATATATATATATATATATATATATATATATATATATTTATTGTAACTTATTCAATTATACTAAAATAAAAATAAAAATTTTTTTAATAAAAAATGCAAATATGATCTAATAAAATAAATATGCAAAATAATTTTTGTTTAAAAGATCAACTTACTACACTACTTAAATCTCATGTGGTTGAAAATTTTTTTTTGTGCTGGCTCTAATGCCAGTTATACTGGAGAATCCTCCAGACATTTAACAATTAGAATTAATGAGCACCTTAAGACTGGAAAAATTTGTTACTTAATAAACAAAGTATTAATTATACTTTTAACTTACGTATTTAATTAAAATGACAGTTTATTTTATTTTTATTATATTTATTGGTTATTTACTGAGTCATTTTGTAAACATTTTTATTGGTTTATCATGCATATTTTGTCTGTTAATATTTCTCTATGAAGTCTATTATTTAATTTTTATTCTAAAGTTTTATTGTAAAATTAATTTTTAGAAAATCTAATAATTATATTAGGAAACATTTTTAAAAATACACACACAAACACATATATTTTTAAATAAAATTAAAAATGCCCTTCATTAAAAGCACACATTTATGTTTTAGATAAAATTAAAAAAACTTATAGATCAAAAGAGCTAGAACTTAGGATTCCATAACATAACATAACATAACATATAAAGTCTACAACATTTTAAACAAAATTTAAAAGATTACTTGTATTCCACAATAAGACCTTTAGTGTTTAACTTTTAAACAATCTTATTATTTATCTTAAAGAGTAGGTATTTTACAGAATTATCTTGATTGTTTAAATTATATAACCGATTAATGAAAATTTCTTGAAAACTACATTGAGTATGTGTATATGAGGTCATCGGTAAAACACGCAAAGTCACAAAAATAAAAATTTTGAGTTTTACTGAAATCTATCATCTATTAAAATGTTAGACAAGTTGAAAGTTTTTAGTACCTAAAAATAGACAGAAAAAATATCAATTTCTGTTGATGCGCAAGTCAAAAAAACAACAGTCACAAAATAAATAGACAACAGTCACAAAATAAATAGTGACTTGAAAAACTCAAATCATTTTTTTTGAATCGAATCTCAAATCAAAACGACACTTCATTCGCAAATCCAATCAATTTGCAGGGCCCTAATATATATAACATAATTCATATATATATATATATATATATATATATATATATATATATATATATATATATATATATATATATATATATATATATATATATATATATATATATATATATATATATATATATATATATATATATATATATATATATATAATTATATATCTATATCTATACATATATATATATATATATATATATATATATATATATATATATATATATATATATATATATATATATATATATATATATATATATATATATATATATATATATATATATATATATATATATATATATATATATAGTGTCGGACAAAAGAAGTGCAACCAAATAATGCTAATTTAGTTTCTTTATATAAAAATGCTGCATTTTTTCAAATTAGAGAAATAACTATGTAACTGTTTAGAGACAACGTTCTTCAAGTTTTATTCATCACAAAGTGCATTATTTGTACACCAAAATAAATAAATGAATCAAAAGTATTAAAAAAAGTTGATTTCCTTCAGGACAAAACAAGTGCAACTCCACAAAATGTTGACCAAGCTGTATTTCGCTAACAATATTTTGTGGCGAATCCTTTGTTGTCGATCACAGCCTTGCATCTTCGAGGCATAGATTCGATCAGGTGATCAATGAAACTTTGTGGAATCGCTGCCCAGGCCTTTTGGATTTGTTCAAATAGTTGATCCTTATTACAAACACCTTTACGATTAATTCTGCGGTTGACAATCTCCCACAGGTTCTCAATAGGATTGAGATTCGGAGATTGAGGCAGCCAATATATTACTGATAGGTGGTTGTCTTGAAACCACTGCAGTGTGTTTTGGATCGTTGTCTTGCTGAAAAACCCATTTTATTGGCATATTCCATTCAGCATGAGGTAACATAACATCTTTCAGGATATTTTTACATGAAACGGTCCATTATTCCATCAATTCGATGTATTGGACCTAGACCGTTAGCAGAAAAACACCCTCAGACCATTACATTGCTTCCACCATGCTTCATGGTCTTATGGCAGTAACGTAAATTGAGGTGTTTTCCGGCCAGTCGACAAACACGGCAAACGCCATCTCAATGATGTTGAACTTCCCAATGCTCTCAATGATGTTGAACTTCGATTCATCACTGAACAGGACAGTTTACTATTTCTGCACATTCCAGTCAATATGAGATGTAGCAAACAGGAGTCTTTTTTTCTGGTTCTTTAGTGAAATCAGCCGTTTCTTTGCAGAGCGTCGAAAAAACAATCCGGCTTCAACAGCACGACGTCTGATTGTATGGTCCGATACAGGCAGCTCTAATTGCTTTTGTATCTCGACTGATGATATCCAGGGATATCATCAGTCGAGATACAAAATAATCATTCACTTCTTGTATTGATGTTCTTTGATAAAACACTTTGATAAAACTCACTTCGATAAACTGTCTTAATAATACTGACTGATTGACTTCCATATACTGACTGAATTGCATGTTGGTTTACATGTCTCTTATATAGTAAAATGAACCTGTGTGAACCTGTTCTGGAAGATTCTAGATGCTTCTGGAAGCTTTTGGATGCGTCTGGCTGCTTCTGAATGTGTCTGGATACTTCTGGATGTTTCCAGATGCTTCTTCTGGAAGCTTCTGCATGCTTCTGGAAACTTCTTGAAACTTCTGGATGCATCCTTTAATTATTAAAAAACTTCCGTGACGTTGACACGGACCAGACTTATATATAGGCTTGGCCATGAAGGCATGCGATTTCAAGTCTTTATATGAGCATGCAAATAACATTTTGTTTTGATGATTTAACCACAGTTTTTAACAAATGCGCTGAAAAAATTGACTTTTAATTATGTTGAAAATAAATTACACGTTTATCTTTACTAACATTTTTACATTAGCAAAGCGCTTTTAAATTATAGTATCATTGAAGTTGTATATTTTTTAATTTATATTATTTAATTATACCGTAAAATCACCTAAGTTCGGCCACCATGTAACTTGTAAAAAATACCATGTAAAAAATATAAAAAAAAAAGCATACAAAACTCAAATTTTAAAAACTTATTTTTCTCAAATAATATTTGTAATTAGATCGCAAATATAAATCTATAAAACAAATAATAATGTATATATGCAAACTACAGAAATAATTCTTCAGCAAAAGAACAATTTGAACAAATGCACACTATTAAAATCTAAAATAAGCAAATTACGAATATATATGATCATATTTAATTATAGTATTAAGAATCACCAAATTAATTATATTTACAAAAAAAAATCATGAAGTTCCAAAAATTAACTACTTTTTTTATAAAAGTTAGAGAAATTTTGAAATACTCTAACTTTGGTCATTCAGGGATAAGCAACAAAGGAGACAATTACAATATTGTAAAATGTTGAAGAATGTAAAATTTACCGGTAACTTTACCTGTAGATTTACCAGTAAATTTTGACATTTTTTTAATGGATACACACCATGGTATTTTATTTGAATAAAAACTTTGTTCATAATTTCAAAATTAACTGACGGTTCTTTGAGTTCTAAAAAGTATTGAAATCTTTTTAGAACTCAAAGGGAAAAAAAAGGAGATAAAATTACAGCTCAACAACAATTATGGATGCGTTGAAAAACCTGTGACGATTGGTTGTGTGGATCTTGCTGTTATACTATGGTCACAATACATGCAAGAATTGTCAATAAACATACAAAGCTCAAATAAAGCAAAGTAGTGTTTTTTTGCTAATTGAAAAAACCTTTTTAAATAAATTAAAAAATATATTTTTAATTTTATCAACCAGTGGCATAGCAAATGTGATAATGGCCAAAGTAATACTACTTATATTTAAAAAGGCCTTTTTTTATATGCTCCTTCTTGTTTTCTTTGGTGACCTAAAAGACCTTTTTTTTTTTTGAGCCCAGGGCAATGCCCTTCTTAGTTGCTGGTATTACCTGAACGAATATCATAATTTTACAATAAGACAACATTTAAAAATTAGTTTTCATTATTTGTGACATTAAGTCTGTCAGGTCAGGAGTATGGTCTTCATGATCATCCTGCTACTGGTAACATGTAACCCAGTGCAACCTGTTCCATGTTCTGCTGCCTTGCAGGATTTGCTTTCTAAGCAAAGACTGGAAGGAGTGTTCTTCCTGTCATCAGTACTATCTAATATCAGTCATGCCTATAGTATTATTATTATTTTTTTTTCCTCATATAGTTGGAGGTGCCTTAGTTACTGTATTAGCTCACCTGTAATCTACGTTATATGTATGTTTGTGTTCTGTCTGAACCTCTGGCGCGGTGTTCGCTCACCCGTAAGTTACTTTATGTTTTTTATGTTTTTTATGTATGTTTGTGTTCTGTCTGAACCTCTGGCGCGGTGTTGACTCACCCGTAAGTTGATTTATGTTTGTTTGTGTTCTGTTTATACTCTAATGCAGCGTGAGCTCAGTAACTAACTACTTACTCCAACTACAAAACCTACACTCACCTTAGACTCCTGTATTTTGTTAGGTGCAGTGTTTTTCTAATGCACTTCCAAAATATCATGCCTAGTTTTCTCAAAGTACTGTTGCGGGAAGCAACTCCTTTTAACTACTCCAGGTCAGGTCAGGATAATCGAGACCAATCTTGCTACTGGTATCAGGTAACCCAGTACCACCTGCCACAAACCCTGCTGCCTTGCAGAGTGTGCTCTTCTTAGGCAAAGGCTAGGAGAAATAAACTCCGACTAAAAATTCCC